TTTTCCCTTGCTTTAAGTTACCTTATTTTGAGGTTAAGAACGAGTGGGAGTTAACTAGTATTATCGTAAGTTGTTGTTGTTACTGTTATTGTTGTTGTTGCTGATGCTACTGCTGCTATATATGCATATACACACCCACATACATCTATATATATGTATACACACCGTTAATGAGCTTTTGTTTTATATGTACATTATTATTTGTGTTGCCTGGAAATCTTTTTGCGGCATGCAGGAGGAGATGCACGAACAAATGTCCGGATACAAGCGTATGCGACGAGAGCACCAGGCGACGCTACTGAAGCTCGAGGAGAAGTGCAAAGTGGAAATGGAGACGCACAAATCGGCGCTGGACAAAGAGTACGATAATTTATTGCATAACTTTACCAGGGAATTGGAACGCCTCGGGGTATGGAAATTGAAATGCAAATTAGGCCCCAGCACTGTAATAATTAAATTTTTTATCATATCGCTGCAGGCCAAGCATCAGCAGGACTTGGAGCGACGCTCGAAACAGACGACAACGGCCGAGAAGAAACTACATAAAGAGATTACGCTGAAGCAGGAGGGCGATCGCAAGTTGTTCGATTCAACTCGCAAGAAGGAATACAAAGCGAACAAGGAGCGCTGGAAACGTGAACTCTCGATGGATGAGTCAACGCCAAAGCGTCAGCGTGATTTAACCTTGCAATCGCAAAAGGATAATCTAAAGCAGCACGAGGCCCAAGAGGAGCAGCGCATGATCCAGGCCCAGAAGCAATATATTGACCTCGAGATGCGTAAATTCAAGCGAAGACGCATGATATTATTGCACGATCTAGAGGATCAGCTGTTGCGTGATGTAAGCATCTAATTGCCCCCTTGAAATTTGTATAATCATTAATTACATATATACAAATCTCCTCATCACAGGAGCTAAGCAAGAAGCAACAGCAGCTGGAACAGGCACATGGTATGCTTTTGAAACACCATGAAAAGACACAGGAGTTGGAATATCGCCAGCAGAAGAGCGTACATCAATTGCGCGAGGAGCAAGTGAGTCTCAACAAACATATATATAGATAGTTCTGACTATATGTCTATAATACGATTTACTTGCAAACAGATAAACAAGCAGCACGACACGGAGTTGCACAATCAAAAAGACTATATGGAACGCATTACGAAGGAGTTGCTGCGCAAGCATGCACTTGAGCTAAGACAACAGCCCAAAAGCCTTAAGGTACACATAAATTCATAAATGAAATAGAAAATGAATTTAATTTTATTATACATTACTTATATACAGCAAAAGGAGCTGCAGATACGCAAACAGTTTCGCGAGACATGCAAAACACAAACAAAACAATATAAACGCTACAAGGCGCAAGTGCTGCAGACGACACCCAAAGAGCAACAGAAGGAGGTTATCAAGCAGCTCAAAGAGGAGAAGCATCGCAAGCTCACGCTTCTGGGTGAACAGGTGATAAACTGACTAATTTAAATATGTAATCAAATATATAATAGCTCATCAATTCACTTTTGTTTTGCAGTATGAACAAAGCATTGCCGACATGTTCCAAAGTCAAAGTTATAAACTGGACGAGAGTCAAGTGATCGAGTGCCAACGTACCAATGAGCAATTGGAATACGAACTGGATATGCTCACAGCCTATCAGAACAAGAACAAGAAGCAGGCGCAAGAGCAGCGCGATCGCGAGCGTCGTGAACTCGAGAATCGCGTTAGCGTGCGGCGTGGCCTATTGGAGAATAAGGTAGACAACTTACCAGCCAGCTAGGCAGCTAACCAAATAACTAGAGTCCAGTTAATACCGATTTGTTTTTATATTCATTTAAGATGGATGCCGAATTGCAACAATTCAATTTGGAACGTGCCGAGCGCTTGCGCATGAAACATGAGAAGCATTCTAAAGAATTGGAAGCTTTTGATAATGAATCAATAGCACTGGGTTTCAGGTAAAGCTAACTAAAAGAAATTGAGGCATAACTCTATATATTAATTCCATATTAATGCTTTTACAGCACTATATCACTAACTGAGGTATCACGCGAGACCTATCCGGATGAGGAGGGTAGTTTGTCGGGTTCCATGATTAGTTTAGCGCATAGCAATAGTTCAACAAGTTTTCCGGCTGGTTCGCTATAGCATAGACAACAACAGCAACTACACCAACAACAACAACAACAAAAACAGCAACAGCAGCAGCAACAACAACCATATAGTAATATGAACTATTATAATTTTAATGGAAATTTTAAAACAAATAACACTGCAACAACAGTAACAGATAGAGCCGGACACAAGCAACTATAACAATTACAAATAACACAACAAAAACAAAAATAAGCATTCGATGTTTTTATAGCATCATTCTAAACTAAAATACGTCAACAATTTATGAACCTAAAGTAAAATTGGAAGAAAAAAGAAAAGCAAAAGCAAAAAAGATGCAAATGAAAGTTTTGCACGATGTTGCCACAAAATGAAGCTGCAATAATTTTTGTATTCAAACGTAATCAATTCAAGCAAACAAACAAGCAACAAATATATAATAATAAATTTAACACAATTTAAACAAAATCAAACAAGCAAATATATATATATATACATATATATATGTATATATATATATATATTTATAAAAGCAAATCAGCATAAATACATAATTAAAATGTAAGCCTTTATTGTCATACACAGAAAAGCATAAAACAATAACAGCAACAACAACAACAAAAGCAAGCAGACAACCCCAAAATTATCGACGTATATATATATATATATATATATATATATATTTATTTGTATAATGATATATATATTCGTATATATATATTTGTAACATGATACATATATATATTCGTATATATATATCTACACGTATGTGTGCAAAATGTTTAAGTTTTATTTTGAACTTTTGATATTATTATATAATAATTTAATTAAAATCTTTGTTATACAACGACTCGATCGTGCATTGCTAAAAGATGTGTAAAAAGAAAATTGTCAAAGTAACAGATATGTTCGTTATGTCAAGAAGATTCGCTAGAGCTGACTTCTTGCAGGCGAAGAGAGCAAAGAGACGAGGGAACGCCATCGATAATGCGCTCCACTGTGCAAAAGAGAATGCCAGAGAGAACGAAATCAAGCAAAGATCTAGATAAAAGATATCCTCTGCTCTTAGCCAGAAGCAGATCCATTTTGAGATCGATCGAGACAGTGCTTGATGCCATTTTTGCATGTTGTTGAAATCCAAAATTAAATTTTTTTTTGTAATCTTTCAACTTTTTATGTTACGTTTTTCCATCGGACTTGCTAATAAAAACAAAAACAAAATATGTAACTTGATAAACAAATAAGTATAAAACATAACAAACATTAAAAATAAACAACAACAACTAAAATAAGCCTATTATAGACTTAATTAATGCAAATTTGCAAAATGCTTAGTCAAAAAGAAAGAAAAAAAACAAAAAACAATAAAAATTGTATAGAAAATTAAATGCATATAAATGTTTAATTAATTTACAATTTATGTTTATGTGAGAGTTATTTTTTTTGTTGTCTTATACATTTAATAATAAATATACACACACCAACACACATACACACACACAATTTTGATCACCTATCACAAACCCCGATCTTAAGATATAAAATCAACAAATTTGTAGCAATAACATTTTTAGTAAACGAAATGATAAATGATAAAAAAACAAACAAAGATTCTTTCCGTTATCAAATTAAATAATCATTTTATAGATGAGCGAAGCGAAGATTGAATTGGGAAACACATTCATGATCGTATACATATGCATACATATATATATATATCTATATCTATACATATATGTATGCATAAAAAAACATGCATAGAAATCAATTTAAACCCAGATCTAGAAAGAGAAAAACCGATATAGTAGAAAGAGAGAGGAGTAAAAGGAAGATGCATATGTAATATTTTTTATGTTTATAAATTTGTTTTTTTTTTTAAATTATTATTAATAAATTGTATTTTTGAAGTGGTAAAACGAATAACAATTACAAAAATTATAAAATGAAAATACAAGAAAAAACAGTAATCATATATATATATTTATATATATGCATTTTAAGTACTATAGTTAATATCTATATAGCGTAGGGCACTGAAGAATATTATAAACAATTTGCATAAGCTGAAAATAAAAGAAAAGAGAAAACAAAAGAATCGTAATACAAAAATATCTACATAGATCTATCCTAGCTATTCACTAACTTTATCTTTGCCTCTTCATTTCTTGATCCATAAAACTAATTGGTCTTATACAGCTAGAAAGAGAGAGAGCGACCCATTGCATATTGGAATTTTAAAACGTTTGTTTATTGAACTCAATAAAGTTGTAATTGTATATATAGACATCTAGAATACCCACTAACTTAGGCAGGTTCAACAATAATCCATCAAAAACTATAGACATTTATATATATATATATATGCACATATATATGATATTCGAATAGCCGCGGAATGTTATACGATTGAGTGCGAACATACATTTAGATTTATATATATATATCAACTTTTATATCTGTAACATCAGGAGTTCTAGCCTGGAATATAGATCAATATAGCTTTCTCTTTCTGCATTTGTTTTTTATGTACATTTATATAGGTGTAGATGATATACATATATGTCTGTATATATATAAATATATATATATCTAGTTGGCATATATAAAGGATTTGGAAAGCTTTGCACCTACGAATTGTACACATATAAAATATATATGAGTATATATTAAGGGATAGAGATTGTACCATATGTATGCGAAAAATCATAATTTACTTAGGTATATATATATAAGTATATATATATATATATATATATATATATATATATATATATATATATATATATATATATATATATATATATATATATATATATATATATATATATATATATATATATATATATATATATATATATATTGTTATATATAAATATATAGTATTTGTGTGTAAGGGATCGTTAAACGTTTCTAATCTTTTTGCTTGGGCTGCGGCTGCTCCGATCTAAACGCCAAACGTTGCTCCATTGTTTGGCCCGGCTTCATGGGGTTGGAGGTGTTGCGTCCACGCGTCAGCCCGCAGCCAATGGATAGGAGGTGCGCCTCCAAGCGACTCAATCGCTTCTTTCACGAGCTCATCAGGCTGTCGAGGAATGAATGCTTGTTGATCACCTTCGTGGTGGCGATCACGAACTCCACGTTGTTGTCCTCCTGGGCAGCCAGGAAGCGCAGTGCGGCTATTTCCGCAAAGGTGCAGCCGCCCACAAAGACGACGAGCACCACGCGCCGAGCATGCAATAGCGAGGTCTCGCTGGGCGTGGCGCCGCCTGCATGACGGCCGCCGATGCCAATCAATTGCACCTGAAAGTCCTCAAAGGTGGGCCCAGGCAAGTTGTTGATCTGACTCTTGAGCGTCTGCCAACCGAGCGGCTTGAGCGAATGCTCAACCAGACGAGCTGTCAACGGAGCATAGAAACTATGAACATAGCTAATGTCCTTCGGATTTACCTCAACGCTATCATCGACGGTCAGATGTAGGGTCTGTGGCGACAAGTTAAGAAAGGTTAACCAAAATCTGCATAGAAGTATTCGCTAATCGTTAACTTGATAATCGCTATATGCTTCTTATTCCTTGACCTCTTACCTGCCGTGCCTTACCCACTCGTTACTCACCTTGCGCAAGACGGCATAAGCCCTCGACTCAGTTTGTGCACGCAGTAGACCAGCTTTCTCCAGATGGCTAATGGTAAGCAACACCTCTAGACCGTAGACCTGGGCCAGCTCGCGTTTGTAGTAGTTGAGAACGCGCTCCTTGAAGCCGGATGCGGCGGCACACTGCAAGCAGATGAGACGCAGCACGTTGCGCAGATCGCTACGGCGTGCTATCTGGTCCTCGATATAAGCACTGGGCCTGTCGATGTCCGCACAGATCATGAACTCCTGCTCGGCGGCCAGATCATCGTTGAACGAATAGAGATTGATGCGTTCGTCAATGAGTCCGGCGATGGCCGTATGCTCAGATGTTGCCTTCTTTTGTTCCATTAGCTGGGGCAGACGGTCGACAAAATTCTTGATCTCCTGCACCGTTTGCTCCTGCCGATTGACATTCATCTGTGCCTGAATGTCCTTGACCTTGCGAGCTAGCAGCATGCGTACCTCATTGAAGTTCTTGTTGCGCAGCTCCCCGTACAGCGGTTCTCCGGAATGAAGGAAAATCGTCTTTCGATCCGAATCGCTTATCAAACGTTCCGGGTCCTCAGCTCCAGCTGTGGAGCCGCTGCTGCCACTGGCTGCTACCGGATTAGTATAATATGCTGGAAAGTGCTCGCCCGGTAGCGTAAGTTGGTTTTGTCGTATGCCATAGAACTCATCGATGAGACCCTCGTAGGTCAGCTGAGTGGCCAGCGGGGTCAGTAGATCGATGCCCCGATCCAGCAGGATGAGCTGATCAATGGCCCCCTTGTCGCCGTTGTACAAAGACTTCTCGTCAATGGCCAGCTGCTTGGCATGATCCCAGACGAATTGTGCCATCACGCCCTTGCCATAGATCTTGGGTATGCGTCCGTATAGCCGCTGCAGCTGGACCAGCCCAACCGCCGCTTGGTAGAGAGCGGTGGTGTCGCCTTCGATGCTAACATCGCGATAGGCATTGGGCATCTCCATACTGACAACATCCGAATCCAGCGGCAAAAAGTTCCAGGTCAGCTCTCCGAAATGCATGAACGTATTGACCACATCCAAGTTCTCCAGATGCTTGATGCACAGGCACGAGCGTCGTGGCACAAAGAAGATGTGGAACTGTCGGCCCGCCTGATTGTTGTTCCTTACGTGCGCTGCCAACTGATCCATGAGTTTCACCTGCGGTCGCACAATATAGACGATGTTCTGCACCTCCTTGGGACTGCGCAAATCCGGCTTCAAAGCGATCAGCTTAATACCACGATCAGTGAATATCTTCGGTTTGGTCACTAAACCCAAGGGTCCAATCATTGCTTCGTCCAACACAATGACCTTGATACCTTCGATGGAATCCAGGTGCTGCTCCAGCTCCCGCGCAGATGTCTCCTGCAGCAGCTGCAAATTGACGCGTTGACTCCTTAGATAAGGAAACATGGTTGATGGCAATTAAAACTGCTCTATTGATGACAACTTTTTGTAGCTTTTTCTCGCAATTAGCGAGGCGCTATTTTCGTTTTTGTATCTCTGCAACCTCTGCACTCAGCAAGTGTTCACTTTTCTAATATTTTTATACTTGCAACGCCCTCATACCGCACGGCAATTGAGCAAATTAGCAAATCAGCTGTTTTGGGCTTGCGCAGAAAACAGTGTGTACATATCAAGAAAAAAAAGCTATAAGCGTAAGTTTCAGTTTATATTAATAAAGGAATGCAGTAATAAATTAACTATAAAGCTCGTTATACGTATTTTATTACTTAAAGCAAGTTTTTAAATTTATTACATAATTTTTCTTACTTGTACTTTAGTATTTGGCAGCACTTAGCACAAGCATATTTTGCTTAATTTCAAATGCACTATTCAAATTCGATATCAACGCGACTATCGATTATGTGCTTGCTACTTTTGCCATTCACAAGCTGTCAATTTGTTGCTCATCTCTATGAAATATACAACTACAATTGAACTAGCAATATTTAAGAGTGTAATAGAATTTCATTTCGTTTTATCCTACTCTGACATTCTGTCAGAGCAAACAGCGCGAAACGCTAAATTTGCAAAGGCTATAAACTAGATATTAATTACTTTACAAATGGTATCAAAGGGTAATAATTACCAACAGAACCGGGCCATGCAGCAGCAACAGCGCTCAAATGTTCGTGCCGCAATTGCACCGTACCGCAAACCTTACCGGGCCCAGGCTCAGGCCCAGGCACAGAATCATTTAATGTACACATCCTGCCAGATGCCCAGCGATCCGCTCTACATAGACTTTAATAGTCCCACGCCTGCACCACCGCCCAAATTAGCGGCGGCCGCACAAACAGTGCAAGCCGGTAATTCGGCCGAAGGCGCTGTGGATGGGGGCAAAAAAAAGCAGCTGAGAGGTAAACAGGCCAAGGGTCACAAACAGTCGCAGCAACAGCATCCGCATCCTCACAATTCGCACTTTGGAACACAGGGCGGCGGCGGTCCCGCAGCTATAGGCGACAATGGCTGGCAACCGCATCCACATCAACATTCACATCCGCATCCCAAGCAGCGTTTCCATGCGCCCAATGCTAATCGCTTCAACGGACCACAGCGCAACGGCTATAACAGAGTACAAATGATGGGTGGAGGCCCGGCAAATCGGGGTGGCGGTCGCCATATGATGGGCGGTCCTGTTGGTGGCCCGATGGGTCCACGCGGTGGCCCCGGTGGTCCAATGCCACCATTTCCTCCAATGCCATTTCAAGCGCCCATGCCACCGATGCGGTGTCCCATGCCGCCAATGGGCGGTCCACCGCCACCGCCACCACCGCCATTTATGCGCCGTAACGGGCGCGGCGGCCCGCCACTGCCATTACCATTGCCGCCGCCGCCGCCGCCGTTGATGGGTCCGCATATGTTTATGGGGCCACGCATGCCACCGCGCGGCATGCCACCGCTGCCCGTCCAGGTGCCCTACATGAATGGCGGCATCATGAACGGCGGCAAAATCAAGAAGCCCAATCCAAAGCTGATCAAGCAGGCGCTCAAGGGCAAGAGCACAATCAAAACGCTTAAAAATCTAGTGAATCAATATCCCATCGACAAGCCGTGGGTGAACGACGAGATACGCGCCATACACGACGAGAAGCTGGACACTGAGAATCGCCTCAAGGGCAACAAAGATGACAAACTCTTCGCCCAATTCAAGGTGCAGCGCGACAAATTCGTGTCGCTCTACGAAAAGGCGCGCGAAACGTATTTGAAGCAGGAGGCCGCCTCCGTAATGGCCAAGGTATGTTCGCCTCTCTCTCTCTCTCTCTCTCTCACTGCATATATCGTTATCCATATGTGCTTCCGCTTTCATTCCAATATCCTCTCCATCCTAATCAAACCGACACAGTGCCCTCGAAACAGATCTATCAATATATATATATATATATATATATATATTTATATATATATTTATATATATATTTATAATTATATTATATATATATATATCAGCAACAAGCACTACAAATTCTCTGTCTCATTCACACTTCCTCGCCCTCCCTGTCTCTTTCATGCAGCTTAGCATGTTTTTTGTTATATATTCATATATAGATCGCTGTCATACATTGTACTCTTTTGCAGGACGCCAAAGATAAAGATAAAGACAAAAACGCAAACTCAAATTCGATCGGATTAGCGCAAGATGCAAAAGTGTCAACAACAACAACCAGTCCAAGTCCAAACAAAAGCCAAAATCAAAATCAAAATCAGAATCAGAATCAGAATCAGAGTCAGAATCGAAAGCAAAATCAAAACGAAGCAAATGAGTCAGAGTCTAACAATTAATTATATATAACATATATATATTTATATATTTACATAAGATATATGCTATATAATTAAGCAATCTTTTTCAATTAATTAATTTATTATTATAAATAATTAATTGTGCGTTTGCCTGGCACAAATGCAACATAGCAAAAGCAAAAAACACAAAAAGCTAAGCCGTGAAAATACAAGCAACAATCAATGACAACAACAGCAGCCACAACAACAGCAATATTTACTACTGTAATTGATAATAATTATAATTGAATAGCAACAAATTAGCTGAGAACAAATTACATTCAAAGAACTGAGCTTAAATTCAAGAAATAAGTAAACAAAAACAAAGCAAGATAAATTAATTATTTAAAAAACCAATAATATAATTAATTTAAATAAACAAAAGGAGAGAATTGCATAAAAATTTATTTTTATGGCTTTAAACAATTGTTAATTGTAACGTAACGTAATGTCACGTCACGTCACGTCACGTCACGTCATGTCACGTCACGTAATGCATTGTAATTGTTAATTGTTAAGTTGATAAGCAATATATATATACACACAATATATATATATATTTATCTTGTAAAACTATCTATTTGTAAAATTAGTTAAATTATTCCAAATTTCGCTTTTGCACAATTTGCTTTTGCCACAATTAATTGTTAATTTTTAAATTGCAAATTTGTAAATTAAAAAACGGAAATGAAAAACAAGCCTTAAAAGTAATACAAATCGTTCTACAAATATTTCTTCTGTTTGCTTAATTGTATTTCTAAATTAATTCTTAAAAATTACAAATTAAGTTTTGAGTTAAGCAATGAAACGATTTAGCCCCAAACCCCAAAACCCCAACCACAACAACAAAAACGAAGAACAATTTTTGTGTGCATCGAGTTGATTTGTTTTTGTGTTTTTTTCTACCCAAAGATCAATCGCATCCGCATCCGCATCCCATCCGCATCCGCATCCCATCCGCATCCCCATCCACATTCGCATCCCTCCAACATAGCTTTAAATTGCTCATAGATCGAATCATTTCTGCAATTTCCATGTACATATTTAACTATATCTATATATATATATATATATATCCCTATATATGTAAATCTATATAACTGTATATCTATCGAGATTATGTAAATGAGCAAAACCTATGTTAATAACGCCCACACACACACACACATATATATATATATACACACAGTCACATATGTATTCAGTTATACAAATATATATGCAGAGCGAAACACACACACGCACCTACACACACACACACACACCTACTACATTTAACTGTACTATATATATGCATCGCCTCTACTATATATGTATTTCCTGATCAATTTACTATAGTTCATGTGAGATGGCGTCTACTTTTGGGGACTTTGGCCTTAGCCAAAGTTTTCCCTAGACTAAGTTTAGCGTTAATCGATTCAGGCCAATCAATGGCTCAGCTTTGCCAAAGTTTGGATGTAGCCAGCGTCGTATAACAAAGTGTATAGCTCTAGGTAGGCTATAGTGTTCCAAAGACAAACCTTTATATACTCGTATAACTATATATAGCCTCAGACATATCACACTAATCGGCCGTGAGCCGAACCTTTTACAGAATTTGAATTTATTTAATCACATTTGCCATTAGATCTTCTTGCTCGGGATTGGCTACTGAGGGACAGCTCCAGCAGCTTTGGTTCACTGAAGAGCTCGTTTAGAAGAGAATCGCTTGGATATAGCCATGCCCAAGGCCGTGTGCGAAACAGTTGGAAAAGTCTTTAGGTTGGGTTCGATTTGGAGCAAAGGATTTTATTCTTAAGCAGGCATTAAGCAATGTTGTCAATTTCTGCACCTGTGCCCACAGCCACACACACACACACACACACTCGTAGACACCTGTCCTTGCACCTGCATTTGTATCATATGAGAATTGCCTGTAATTGCCTTGGATTCCAGGCTAACATTGTGTATTCAAATTGAAGAGCGTTTAAGTAGCGTAAACACAGATAGATTGATAGATTGATTGATTGATTGACTGACTGATTGATTGATTGAATGATTGATTGCCATCCATACACACTCAGCCCCCACATTTGATGAACTTTTGGATAATAAAACGATAAACAAATTATAAATGGCGAAATTTTGATTGGCCGGGTGGGTCTCTCGCTCTCCCCAGCTGCTCTAGGGAGGACTTAAGGATATAATGACACCATAATTGGTACAAAACAGTGAGAAGTTCGACACCTTGCCAGGGCCGCCAGCCGAGTGGCAGCTATAAAAGCGCCTGCACCTGGCGTCGCATGGCCAAACAGAGAGCCAGCGACGACGAGATGGAAGGAACGAAGTGTGGGCAACTGGACGTGGACGTGGACGTGGACAAAGTGCGAATGCTAAGCACGCACGAGGCACTTAGCCATCATTGGCGCGTCTGGGAGCTGACTGGCTTGATCCAGCCGGCGGGCATGTCGCGCCTCAGGTATCTGATCCAGGCCATTTCGCTGAATGTCCTGGTCACGTTGCTCTTTCCGCTGACGCTGCTGGCCCGGCTCATCCTGACGCGCAATTTGCAGGAGCTGTGCGAGAATCTGACCATTACGATCACCGATATTGCGGCCAACTTTAAGTTCGTCAATGTGTTCCTGGTGCGCCGGCAGCTCGACCAGATACGCGAGCTGCTCCAGGTGCTGGACAGGCGAGCGCTCAGCGTACAGCATCCCGAGGAGCTGCAGGCCCTGAAGCAGGCTGTGAGCATGGCCAGGAACAGCTTTCGCATCTTTGCCGGCATCTTTATCTTTGGCATCTCGCTCAGCTGCATCCGGGTGGCCATAGCGAAAGAGCGCCGGCTGCTCTATCCCGCCTGGTTCGCCGTCGATTGGCACAGCTCGGATGTGGCGTACGTGGCCATCTGCTGCTACCAGCTGTTCGGCCTGATCGTTCAGGCCATCCAGGACTGTGCCAACGACTCCTATCCGCCGGCCTACCTCTGCGTGCTGACGGGTCATATGCGCGCCCTGGAGCTGCGCGTGCGTCGCCTCGGGCATCCGAGGCGGCCCGACTGCCCGCCTTGGTACCGCTCCACGCAGCTGCAGCTGTGCGACTGCATCGAGGACTTCATAAACATCAGCATGCTGCACGCGGCCATCCAGCAGATCCTATCGGTCGCCTGCCTCGCCCAGTTCCTATGCACGGCCACCGTCCAGTGCACCGTGGCCATGCACTTTCTGTACGTGTCCGACTCGCACGATCTCTCCGCCATGATGCTGTCGACGGTCTTCTTCATCGCTGTCACCCTGGAGGTGTTCATCATCTGTTACTTCGGCGATCGCATGCGCAGTCAGAGCGAGCAGCTGTGCGATGCGTTCTACGCCTGCAACTGGCTGGATCAGACGCCCCAGTTCCGGCGCATGCTGCTCTTCACGCTGATGCGCAGCCAGAAGCCGTTTTGCATCTATGCCGGCGGCCACATAGCCGTCACCCTGGAGACCTTCGAGCAGGTGCGTCATACGTTTGCAGCTTCAGTGAAGCCATGTGCTCATATAGACTCCACTCTCATAGGTCATCAAGTCAACCTACTCCGCCTTTACGCTGCTGCTGCGAGCCAAGTGAACTAGGAGCAGCGACAGCACTCTAGCCATGGCAAGCTCATGGCAGACCTCAGCTCTTGCCTTTGCCTTTGCCTTTGCCTTTGCAGGATTATAGAAGATATATAGCTGTAGCTATGTCTATAGAAATATCTCATCCAGAAAGCAAATAGTTAAGGCCATGTCCAGTGAGCTATAGAAGCTATACGATCTATTTGACAAGTAGCATGATAAAGGTAGAGGTAGCTAGTAGAAATCCATGATAGAAACCGATTTATAGAAGGCATACGCTACTAGAAAACATAATGCTTTCGCAGAAAGTCCGTTGATCTTATTCAGTATTACACTAAAATGTGTGCAAGTTGCCTTTAGCGAGTTAGCACTGTATTGATTGTACAAATATTGAGTCTAATCTGTGTCTTTATATAAAAGTGACATGAGAGTTTTTATTTGTGGGCATTGGGAACAGATGGATGCTATCACTCTATGCCTCAGCTGGATCTGCTGCTGCTGCTGCTGCAGGTTCCGCTGCGGCTGGTTCAGTTGCCTTGTCCATGTCGTTGTGCTTTTGCTTCTTCCACATTTTGGCGGCGGCGAGGAGCTTGAGATTGGGTCGCGCCATCTCGTCCTCGGGGAATATATAATCGAAGATCTCCTCCCAGCCCTCCTCGACGCCCTCGTCGGACACGATCTTCTGTCGCCGCTTGATGCGACGCGGCATCTTGTCCAGTACCTTTTGCAGCGACTGTGCATCATTGACCTCGCGCTCAAAGTCCCGCCACGCCTCCAGGAGCAGCACACGCGACTCCTTGTCGTTCAGCTGACGCAGCATATCGTTGGCTCGCTCGTAGATGCGCCGTGCTAGACGTACGTTCATATCGGCATCGGCATCGGCAGCGGCATCGCCATCAGCCTGGCCATGATTGATGCCCATCTCGAATTTGGCAAACGACATCCAGACCTTCACGTGCTGCGTGCGCTCGAGCAGGCGCTCGTACAGCTGGCGTGCCAGCTCCGTTTCGCCGAGGGCGACCTCAAAGTCGATGTACGCCTTCCACAGCAGCTCGGGCATATCGAGACGCGGCTGCTGCACGGCCAGCTCGAATATGGCCCTCGCACGCTCCGTGTCGCCCAGCAGATTCTCCAGCTCGGCAAATTTCATCCATGTGACACAGTTCTCGGGACCAAACTCCAAAAACTTCTCGTAGAGCAAGCGACAGCGCTCAAATTCGCGGAGCTGTATCTCCAGATCGATATAGCCGCGAAACAGTTTATCCCTGGGGCACATGCCGATGGCCATGCCCAAGGATTTGCGCGCCTGCTGCAGCTCCTTGCAGCGCAGCTCGAACTGGGCGTACAGCAGCCAGATCTTGCTGAACGTGAACACCTTGTGAGGTATTAGCTCCAGGCAGGTCTTGTAGATCTCCCTCGTGCGCTGTATATCCTCCGTCTCGAGCTCCTCGTACAGCGCATAGTTGATCCAGATGTAAATGTAGCGACGCCAGTAGTTCTTCTCTTTGGCGGGCGGCACGTTAGCGATGGCACGCTCGTAGGTCTCGCGTATCAGCTCCTTGTCGCTGTCGGCCTCGATCAAGCGCAGATAATCGAACCAGGCATCATAGTTGGTCGGATTGGCGGCCACCTCCTGTTCATATTGATGCTTGCGCTTGGATACGATCACATCCTCGATGCCCGCCCGATCACCATACTTCTTCTCGTGTATCGTGTAGGCCTTGAAGAGCTCCGGCGTTCGATCCTTGGGCAGATGCTCGAGCGCATATTTGTAAATGATGCGCGCACGATCGTGCTCCTTCTGACCCTCCTCGAAGCGAGCGAACGCAATAAACAGACGCTCCTCGATGTACTCATCGCCAAAGAACTCGACGGCACGCTCGAAGACACGACGGGCGCCATGTATGAAGCCATGTGTCTCCTCGAAGCGTGCAAATTTGATCCAGTTCTTTACATCGGGATGAACATAAACGAAACGTTCGTACACCTCGCGTGCTCGATCGATTTCCTTGTAGCGCAGTTCGAAATTTACGTAAGTCTGCCAGGCTTGCTCCTCCGGCTGCCATTCCATCCAGCGTTCAAAGACCTGCCGTGCACCAGCCACATTATCCAGCATCTCCTCCATGTAGGTGTACTTATACCAGAACTGATTGACCCGTGGCATTATGGTGACAGCACGATCCCAAAGGTTTCGCGCATGATTCACCTGTTTGTTCTTCATTTCCATTTCGGCATATTTCAGCCAAATGGTTACGTTACGATGTTCGTTGTCCAACGCCCGCTCCCATATGGAGCGCGCACGCTGTATCTCCTGCTGTTGCTCCTCCCATTGCGCGTACTTGATCCAGTGGCTGACCACCATGCGATTCTTGCGTAGATTATCCTCAAATGTTTTGCGCTTCCTCTGCTGGTAGTCGGCTAATTCGGCGGGATCGGAAATTTTTTGTTTGGGCGGCGGTGGCAATATCTCCAAGTCGCGTTCTTTTGCTTCGCGCAGCAGTTGCTCCGCGGTAATTTGCACCTCGGCGGGCGCTTTATTTTTCACCTGAAAACAAAAACGTTTACGTTGGACTGCGCTGTACTTGGAAATATATCCAGACATACCTTTGCCACTTTGGGCATTTTCTGTGGCCGTTCCATGCTAAGTTTACGAGTTAATTGATAGAGTTTCTTTTATATGAACAATAGTTTTTTTATTTAAGCGGAGTTTTATGCACAATCTCTCAAAATAAACACGGCATTAGAGATGCGCCAATTGCAAATGCGTCTTCTTCTTCGTATCATGCCGCTATTCGCATTGAAACGTGCAAAATTATCGACTACAGCTTGATATATTTCGATAGCCGAAATTTACTGTATCGATATTTTTGCAACGTATTTAAGGTAAAACCTTATTTATTCATTTTAAATTTCTACTATTTATTCATAATATTTACTCTATTCATAAAAATATTAACAGCACACTTGATGTTGCAATTGCAAGTGTTTTAATAAATATCTGTTTAATAGCCATTTAAGCAACAATCCCATACTTCAAATATTATATACAAAACATAAATACATAGCGCATATAAAAGCTACAAAACAATACATAAAGTAAACAATACATAATGCAAAAAAAAAATTGAAAACACATCATCTGCTCCTTAGTTAAATAGTTTCCATGATTTACCGTTACGTTTCTCAGGCTTCTCGACGACCCAATTATTGGGATCCATTAAATAGTCCCTAAAAAGGAGAAATCAATGATATAGTCAGTCAGTTCTAATATCTTCGCGTGCGTTCTATTTGCCTCTTCTCCGTCAGGATTTGTTGGGTCTGCGCCCGCAGTGTGGCCAGCGATCCAGCAGATCCACCATATTCCTCCGGCAGCATTTCACGCGGCACAAATGCATACAAAGTGTCAATGCTGGACGTGTGAAACTTGATCTTGAATGGAAAGAAAATAATTTATGCATTAATAATATGATAAGTCTACATGTTGTGTGAATCGTACCAATTTGAAGACCTCATCGCTTATGAACGGCTTCACGACGGTCACAATGCGATCCAGATACGTCGGACAGTTGACCATGTGAATGGCCTTGAGGCGCACTGGAAACGCCAGCTGCAGGAACTTGATATAAGCACGCAAAGTGCTAATCGTTAAACGCGATATATGGCGCATGGTGGTGCCCTTCATATCGAAGATCTGCACCTCGCCCTCCGACAGCTGCCCGCTTTGAGCGGGATCATCGGCCGTTATGAACCGACAGTCGGTGACCATGAAAAATGCCTTCGTATCCTCCGTGTGATGCATCTGCAAGTAAGGCAAGCTAAGTATGCGAAATATAAATGTGTAAATTGCCAATACGATGCGTACCTTGGACGGTTCAAAGTCCCTAAAGCAGTAGAGCGACACCTTGTATTTATCCGGAGTCAGGCCCGGAAGCGGCAATATATCCCTGCAAAGGAAAGCTGTTAGATGATGACGACAAGGAAACAGCTGTTGACCTACGCATAGTCAAAGGTGCGACGACTGTCCTCGTCTAGCGGATCTCGTTTAATAAACAAATGCGGATGCTTGTTCCGCAGCGCATAGTTCACCTCGATAAGCTTCTTGGTGTCCTCCACATGGCAGTACATGCACTGATAGAACCGGCGCAGCAGCAAAGGCTCTGCAAAATAAATATATGCATATAAATATATAAATGAGTTGGCATATGACGCAACGGGCGCACAGCATGTCCGCTATTCAAATGGCTGAAATGCTTGGCTGACTATTAACGACCTCATTAAGTATTATTGACGTATGCATGCGTATGGGTCAGCACTCAAGACGAGTGTTTGTGTTTACATTATTTGGCAGCAATTCAGCAAAAACAGAACCCTTCGCCCTCCGCGCTGTGTCGTTCGCCAATACCAAGTACTGGCCTACATATATGCATATTACATCAGAGAAGACGCTGAAAGATGTTTGTTTACCAATTTCTCGAGGCAGGTTCTCATTGCTGTGGAACCACTCGTTAAGCTCGGCCAAATCACGATCGCGTCGCAGCTGATTTTCACTTTCACTATCGCTGCTCATCGCTCGAATTATCGTTTCGGTATCGAAATGAAAACTACTCGTTTTGGTACTTGCTATCGTTAAGTCAATCGGGTTTCAAATTACGTGCGCAGCGAATTTTACTGTGTACCGTTGCGCTTGAAGCCTGCTGCCCAACTGACTGGCCTTTAATATTTGATTCATAATTCATGCTTAAATATATATGTATAAATATAGAAATTATTGATTTATATTGCAAATACGTATGCGCGTATGAATTTAAATAAATTCGCACTCTCGTCGTCCATCAAACACGTATACTTTTTTAATTGCCTTCCGCTTGCCCATTCGCCCATTCGCCCATTTGCCCATTCGCCCAGTTGGCCATTTGTTGGCGCTTAATAGTGCCTAAATTTGTGCCTGGCTTGATTTGTCAGTTACAGCTGCTGCGCATCTATCTAATCACCTGGTCGTGCATTGAATTCGTATATACCACAGCAAGTTTTGAGCACAAATTTGAACTGAATCCGAAATCAAAATCGAACCTGAAACCATTTAGCGCAATTATGAATTTAAAACTCATTTGATCCGCTGATGGCTGCTAATGAGCGCTTACAGTGAATGGCATAGACATTAGGCCATGTTGAAGTTCAGATACAATGGATTTAATGCTTATATGCACACAATTAGAGACTGCACTTAATCACCCATTATCGACCCGCAACCGCAACAGGAGCACTCATCGTCGTCGGAATCTGTATTTAGGAGCAACAACAAAATGCGCAGCAGATCCAAGCTGAATATCACCATGGACTGATATAACATGAATCTGTCCGTCGTAGACAGCGCATAGAGCAGCTTCGAGGAGACCACCATTATGGATATGAGGCATCCCAGACAGCCAGTGCGCTGCAGCAGCCCCAATATGATCAACAGCGATGTGGTGGCCGTCATTACGATGCTCAAATCCCGCTTGACCCTCGCCAGCTCGCCGACCTTCGAGTAGTACAAACAGATGCTAATCAGCAGGACAATTAGCATGGTTTTGCCCAAAATACGACGCCTATGCCCCGGCGAGGCGTAGTGGTAGAAGATGCACAGAAATGTGAGATTCAGCACCAGGCTTGTGGTATGTAGCGTCAACATGGTCTGATCTCTGTTCAGCTGTGCCAGGCGCATGCCCAGTGTCGCTAGCATTAGGGCGCCCATCAGTGGCTTCGTGGAGACGTCATCGCCATCACCTTCACTAGATTTCAGTCGGCAGAGCAGGCCCATGCCTCGGCACAGTTTCACACAGCTCAGGATCAACGCCAGATACCGCAGCTGCTCCCTATAGGGTTGCAAATATCCGGTAATTGCCTCCATTGGCGATCCAAGTTAAAAACATGCAATAATTTAGTTAAAAGTCCACAAAAAACACACACATATATATCTCTAAATATAAAAATAAATATATATATGTATTTACATAAAAAAAAAAATTTGAAACAAATTAAAAACAAAAGAAGCGAACTCTATATTTCTGGAAATCCTTAAGCATTGTAATATTTTCAACATCAAATTCAATGCCTCTGCGTGAGGCTGGCATTAAAAAAAAAAAAAAAAAACAAAAAACAAACAGAAAAATAAAAGTAAAAAACAAACTTAGTTTATGCTATTACACCCGAAAATCTTTAACATATTAATCACATTTGCGCTTAGCTCCATTTGGCGTTACTAGAACCAGGCCCAGCGGCTCTTCGTCTCCGACGTCACCCTCCAATACTTCTCATCGCTCAGATAGGCTCTGAAAATAGAGAAAATATATCAGAATTTTACTGCAGATTCTACATATGAATAATCGATCAATCCAAATTGATCGATTAACCAATTCAAATTGCATATCTCAAAGTTTCCAGTTCATTTTCGATTCTGATTCTGATCAAACTTCATTAGCACTTGCCATGTATGCGAATAGTCCATAAGATGCAATAACGTAAGCTCACAAACATAACTCCAAGCCCTCAAGATGCCATCCCCATGGAGGCCTAGCCTTTGAGGTTTCTCATATTAGGTATAAAAGACAAGGTTTTTTGAGCTTGTTTACTTTAGAACTCTGCATAAATATTTCGATATCTTTACCTAAAATATATCGATCTTACTAATCCAATTCATCATTAATCGATTGTCATCAATCGATAAATAATAACATTCATTATTTGGAGTCTTTGCTCAACACGTTTGTTAGTTCTGGTAGTCATATCCTATTTATATAGCTATATGTCTGCTCATATATATCCATATCTTTCTGTTGACTTACGTTTTTTCGCGCATGGCCTGCATCCATTTCTGCTTGATTTCGGCAACTGTACCGGCTTTGCCGCCGTACTCCACGGGTAGCATATCCTTCGGAACCAACTCGTAGAAGCTGTCCATGCCTTCGGTGTGGTAGTTGATCTGTTTGGGAGGCAATATGAGTGGTGATCAGTTGGGGCAGTGGTGACGTCGCTTTAGTTACCATTTGGTAGACGTCCTCGCGTATGAAAGGCTTGAACAGCGACATCATCCTGTCCAGAATCGAGGGGCAATTGATGATGTGCATCGCGCGCAGCCGCGATGGATATGCCTCCTGCAGGAATTTCATGTAGACGCGCAGCACAAAGACCGACACGTAGGCTATGTGCCGCATCGTATAGCCAGTCATGTCAACGATCTGCACGTCGCCGTCCGCCAGATCTGCATCGCTAATGCCAAAGCCCCGATGCTCGACGCGCTCAGCTGCGGGTCTTTCGACATCCGGTTCGGTAAAGCGCGCATCGGCCATCATAAAAAAGATTTTCGTCTCCTCCACAGAGTTGCGCTGCGAATTGAGAGTTGACTCGAGTTAGAGAAATATACACAGAGTGAGCAAGAGAGAGGGAGCAAGAGAGAGAGCTAGACTAACCTGACTCACTCTCACTCTTAGCTCTACCTCGCTCTATATCTTTATCTGTTTTATACTCTCTCTCTCTCTCTATAAATATATATATATATATCTGTCTCTTGCTCCCTCTATCTCTCACTCACTTTGAATGCATGTTACTCTCACTCTCTCTCTCTCTCTCAGTCTTTGGCTTGGCTCTGCCTCGCTCTCTCTCTCTCTCTTTCTCTTTCTTTCTCTCTTTCTCTCTCTTGCTTATTGTATATTTCTTTTTCACTATATATATATATCTTTCCATCTGGCTCTTTCAATCTGTCTCTCTCTTTCTCGCTCTGCCAGTCTCTTACTCTCTTTTTATATATCTCTGTGCCTCTCTTTCTCTCTCTCTCTCTGTCTTGTATTAATCAATTGTATATGAGAGATGTAGACATAAATAAATATATAACTATCCATATATACATTTATTTATAATATATATATATTATATATAGCATTATGCTTACCGTTCGTGGATCAAAGTCGGTCATGCGAAACAGTATGAGCTTGTGGCGCTCGGGCGTAACGCCTGGCAGTATGAGCAGATCCCTAGGAGAGTGCAGGGTTTATATGGTTACCGATAGAAAATAGATAAACAATATCTTAGGGCCTTACGAGACACTCAGACACTTGGCCGTCATCTCGTTATCCATGTTGCGATCTATAAATAGATTTGGATTCTTATTGCGCAGATTATAGTTGAGCTGAACCAGGGCTTTGGTGGAGTCTATCTCGTAGTCCATACACTTCAGGAAACGTAGCATTACAATCGGCTCTGCAATCAACGCAAGTGCAATTGATATAATTATCTACTATATATACTATATATAAATATATTATATTCTGTATGATTGTGGCTATAAATGTGGAAAAATCAACAACAGACGTTGCTGTTCGCATGCGGAATTTTATAGTTTATTTTACTTGTAAAGCCAGTCCAACGGGTGTATTAGCCATGCGACCGACTATGTAAGTATGTATGTATTTTATGAATATAGATGGGAAACAATAGAAACTGTAGATTTGCCAACTCGAGATTGAACTGAAGTTTCAATTATTTTCCTTTGAAGTCGGTCCTAATCAATTTATTAATACGGAAAGTCAAATCGTATATATCTGTAGAGAGAACTAATTGATTGATTAATAGTGGTTTCTAAGTCTATATATATACAGTCTATACATATAAGTCTATATAATAATAGTTTACATAGTAACATTTGCTAGGGTATTTTAAGCGCTATATTCTGTCCCACTTAAGCTCTCTTCGTTGTAGGTTTCCATTTATATATTTTGAAAAAAAAAAACAAAGAAAGCTATAGATTTATCTTTACACTGACTAATGCCGTTGTACTTGCTTTGTGCTTTGATAAGGCTATCAGCTTTGTCTGAGGCACAACGCACTTACCTGGCCACCATATGCGCTCTCCTACATGGCCATAAATATGTACGTAACATGCCGACGATTCCTAACCTATCCCATTCGCTAACCAAGATACAAAAGTGCTTATAGATACATATAGATATTCCTTCCGGCTGCCTTACCTATTTTTTCGGGCAAACTTGATTCGTTTTCGAACCAATTTATCAGTTCCCTTAGCTTGGCATCCACTTGTTCGGTGCTCACAGTTGGTTTTATTGGCATCATTTTCCAACTGTTGTTGTTGTTGTTGTTGTTGTAAACCTTTGAAGCTGCCGCTGGGCGCTCTGCAAAACGATCTACTTCGATTTAGCCGAGCAACTGTGCCAAAAATCGCGCCGTTCAATTGATAAAGCCCTGCAAAAGCTTAAATGCCGAATACACAAACAAATGAACACACTCGTGCACACACAAGCACGAAAAGTTGCTGCTTGCATTCTATGCTTAATTAAAATTATTTGCCGCCAGCGCGCTCGCACTTGTTGCTTATTGCATGCATTACAAAACGGGGGTGGGAAAGGGCAAGAGAGGCTGAGCGAAGCTAAGCATTCAACTCGCCGCAATGCAGTGCTCGCTCTCTCGCTCTCTCGCTCTCTTTGTGCCGATTCCTCGTTCGCTCTCTCGCTGTTTGACTGGTTTGAGCTTTGTCAAAAGCTTCGACGTCATGAATGGCGTTGTAAGTAAACAAGTTAAGCTCTTTTTATTGACCTTTAATGGCTGCAATGCACTGCCTGCCATAAATATGTTAACACGCCGAATTACTTGGCATGTTTGCTATACCCTGTAACATGTTAATGCGTAGGGTTGCATGCCAAATAATAAAAATAAATTATATATATAAAATTGATAAAATTGATCTAAACAAGATTCGCTTGACGCTGTACAAACACTTTCATCGCCCACTGTTTGAGTGAAGAGCCAATTAGAGCGCAGCTCATAATAATAATAATGGATAATCTCTTTATTGATTTTGTACACATATAAATAAGTTGTCTCGTTATTTATTCATAAATTGTTTAAACTTAGACATTTGGCATGTGCTAAACATTATTTTTCTGTGTTTTTTATATTTGTTTAATTTTCTTTTTAAGGTATTTCTTTGGTTAACTCTAGTTGAATTAGTGTTTTTTTTTTTTGGTTTTTTTTTTGTTTTTGTTTTTGTTATCACTGTGTATTATTTTTATTTGTAATTTACTTTAACTTGTGTATAATATCTAGGTATTACCTAGAAAAAAGAATCAAATTCTATAGAGTTCAATCTTGGATACTTTAACCACATACTTTCCTGATCCGTTAGCTGTCCATATAAAGTCTCAATTACAAAAATCTATTTATTTATTTATTTATTTACTATTTTCTTTTTGGTTTTCTTAAAGTTTTGGTTTTCTCGTTTGTTCTGCATAAAATGTTAACATTGTTCTTAGATCTTAGGATTTCACCTTTGCTATCCTAGCGATTGTACATTTATTATATAACTTCTTATATTTTGTTTTATTTTTTTATTGGATAGTTTTGGGTTAAAGTTGGGAAAAAAGGAAAACTTCCTCGACATCTCTCACTCTCCTCTCTCAATCTCTTTCTGGCTCTCCTTCCCTCTCTCCCTCCCTCGCCCCCGCTCGCTCTCTTCCCTGCTCACCAGTCAATTGACCAATTAGACAAACGTATATACCGTTTTTCATATAGATATATATCTTTTAAGTACATCGAGAACAACATTATGGAGACAACACGATTCAAACGTCCAAATACATTCTAGAAGCTAACAAATTTTCTATCCAGTTCTCAGCAACTCAGAGCTAATAGTTGAGAATGTGTTCTACGTTTCGTTATCGACTCCACTCGAATTTCGAAATTTGAAAATTAAATTATGAAAGTCGAACTCAATTCGAGCTTTACCCACAGAGCGACTCGAAGTTCCGTATTTTGAATTGGCTCAATCAAGAACGAAATGCAGAACGCGATTTAGAGATTTTTTTTTGTTTTTTTTTTTTTTTTTTTTTGTTTTGGTTAGTTTTAGACGTAGCTTTACATACATCGAGGAATAGAGTTAATACGCGTGTAAATATTTAGTTTTGATGGCACAAAATAGTCACTTAGTAATATCCAATATAATTCTCGAAGCTAGGCCTAAGTATTATCCATGGCAAATAGACAGAGAAGAACGCCTCTAATATGCTAAATAGATGAACTACGATACGTTAGGCTCTGGACTGTGGCTTAGTCCAAATTTCGTGGTAAAGATTTGGAACATTCTATGAGTGTGTGTGTGTGTGTGTGTATAGGATATATGTATATATATGTATATTGATATATAGACAATGCTTGGACTTGGACTAAGAGCGCGACTGAAATTTAACTTTGACAAGCTTTTCCACTCTCTCGACTCTCTCTCTCTCTCTCTTGCCTCCCTCTCTCCTCTCTCTCTCTCTATCCTGCCCTTCCCTCTCTCCTGTCTCACCTTCTATGTCTCTTTGAATACTGTTGCATTGGCAGAACTCGCATGCATCGTGGCTCCGTTTTGGATGGGGCATTTCAGCTGATGATCCTGTCGATCGGTCAGTCAGTCAGTCAGTCAGTCAGTCATTCAGTCAGTCAATCAGTCAGCCTGCGATACGACGCCACCAGCGTTACATGGTGTGCGTGCGTGCCACAGTGCCCCGGCTCCGGGACTAGCTGAAGTAGCTGCGTCATAAGCTGATCAGCGTCGCCTTGCGCTGCGCCTCCAGGCGTATCTCCAGCATCGCATACGGCGGCACACTGATCACGAGCAGGACAACGAGCGCAATGATCTTCACCGATTCGCAGAGAAAGCCGTGCGCCGCAAACGTGATGGCCAGACCGAGGAAGCGCAACGATTGCAGCGGCGCCGTCACGTCCGTCACATGATCGTGCTGGACATGGTTGAGGGTGACCAGCGAGAGGAGCAGCGTCTCCCACATGCCATTGCAGGCGCCCCACGAGGCGGCTATCACATAGAAGAGGGCGCTGTCATCGCTCGAGGGCTTCCAGCTGGACAGCGCCAGCAGCAAGCACGAATGAAAGAAGAAGCCGGCCACTGTGGGATTAGAGCGGAGCATTAGACGGATTAGGCGGATCTGGTGCTGCATGGCTACTCACATATGACCACGATGCGCTTGGTATGCCGGAGCAGCATGCTCAGCGTGCAGGAGACGATCAGCTGCATTATGCCCATGCCGATTAGGGCGCCCGGAATCATGCTGATGCCCAGGGAGCAGGAGACAAAGGCGCGCAGAAAGTCGCCCAGCATATAGCCCTGTTCGGTGCCCACGAAGTAGGCCAGGGGTCCGGCAAAGAGCAGCGTGTCCGTGACATCCTTGTAGGAGCGCTCAGGCCGGCCGGCTGCCACCAGGACCTGTCGACCCTGCAGCAGCGACAGGAGCAGCGCCAGCAGCGAGAGCACCACATACAGCCAGAGCAGCGATTGCCCGCCAGCACGAGAGCCGCTCTCAATGAAGCCGGCATAGATGGCGTCCGTATCATTGGCAGCGAACCAGCTGACGGCCAGCTGCAGGGGACACATGTCGGCGCCACAGATGCGTTCGCCGTGCTCGTTCCGGTTGTAGAAGTCCTCCGGCTGGGGCCAGTTGGTGGTGGGCAATTGGCTGCCATTGCGGGCATTGCTGCTTGCCTCGGCGCTGCCCGCCGAGCAGCTCCAATCGTTGGCATTGCAGGCGAGCAGCATGGAGGCCAGGAGAGCGCCCACGATCAGGCCCAGATCCTGGGCGGCGCGTAGCCAGCGGGCCAAACGGCGCACCTTCTGATCTCGATTGCAGAACATCTTGTGCTCCTCGAGCAATGCATCCGACGCACACTCCTGCTCATGGGAGCAGCTCAGCTTCCCGCCATAGTGGACAATCAGCGCCGCCTTGCAGCTGTTGGCGGCGCTCAGCATGAAGCCGAGCAGCAAATATGCCGGCAGCAGCGTATAGATGGAGGCGTACAGGTGCGACAGCAGGAACAAGGTCACCGCCAAACAGTTCCCAGCCAGCAGCGGGGTGTAGCCGAATCTCCGGATCAGCCTTATGCCCGGCACACTCATGCAGGCAGCGATCAGAAAGAGTGCGCCCAGCAGCAGGGAGCCAATGTTCGGACCGATGGCCAGCCACTGCTCGCGATGATGCCAGACGGAGCTGGAGCCCTGCAGTGCCATCACCGGCAGCAGGACGGCGCTCATCAGGCCGTGGGCGATGCTCAGGCAGGTGAATTGCCGCCACACCCTCTGGCGCACGTGGGCGGGCACCTTGTGGCGGCAGTTGCGATTGTTCAGGGTGATCAGGCGGCGTATCGAGGTGGCTCCAATGGAGCTGTTGATCGATTCGCGACGTCGCGATGCCGCCAATGCCGCCTGCACCTGGTACGAGGAGACCGGATTGATGCGATGCGAGCGCGTCGAGATCGGAGACGGCGAGTGGGCAGTCAGATGCTGTCAATGGAACACGGGAAGGTATTATTAAGAAACAGCCAGACTGAGAGTGCTCGACTAGCAGATACCCTTTAAACAGCAACGATCCTACAGTTGAACCCATTTGCATGCTTCAATGGGCGTAATGCAGTATCCGACTAATAAATACCCATTCCAAAATGTTATGCAGTGAGACCGACTAGATAGATACCCCTTACTCAACACAAGCTGCACAAGTTAGTGCGCTTCAGTGACAAGTATACGACTACTAGATACCCTTTACAAAGCACCTGAACAGGAAAGGAGTTGCACTACACAAAGAGCCTGCATGCCAAATCCCGTTACTTCAGTTATCCCGCAATGCTTTCGATAACGATATATATCGATATTTGGAAATGGAGAAATGCATAAAATATTTTAGTTTTTGTATGATACAAGAGAAAGGGCTTAAAGAATGTTTTAAAATGTCCATTGAAACCTATCGATATCATGTTATAAAAGCGATAACGATATTTATCGATAATTAAGCAAATAGAAAATATATATTAAATTATGGCACTCGTAATTTGTGTAACAAGGAAAGCATTTTACCCAAGCGATAACGATATTTATCGATCAATCAAATATCGCAATGAGACATGTCCATTTGCAGAGTATAGAAGGTATCACTGCAGGCTCAACAGATCTAACTGCCCCACATATATTGGCTGGGTACCAGCTAGTCCATCGGCTTATCTTCAATTTCAGAGACTCTAGAGGCGCGAGGCATTGTCAGGCCAGCCGATTGCAATCGACAGATTTCACTTTTGACACTTGACTTTTGCCCGTTTGTTGCCGCGAGCAACAAGCTCAACTGGATTTGCGAAGGCCAGCATGACGAGGGGAGGGGCGAGCGGACGAAGGTCCTTTGCCAGTTGAAATTGAAATCTGGGTCCGGGATATGCGCAGTGGCCATCCTCGTGCGTCTTTGTTTGCCTTTAATTACTTATTTGTGCTTGTGGAGGCGTTAATCCAGTTTTCCACTGCCTTGACATTTGACCCCGTTGCCAGGCAACCTACCCAGCGACCGCCTACCATTGAGCCAAATTGGAGCTGATGCTGATGCTGATGCTGATGCTGGCACGGAAGGCAAAAGCCAGAAACACAATTTGCGAAGACTATAAATAAATGACAAGTGCCTGGCCGAGACCCGGGGCTGGGATTATGCTGCGTGCAGTTTGCACAGCTGCCACCCACCACCCACCACCCACCACTCACTCACCTCCATCAGTTGCTCGTCCCAAACATTTTGCGGACCGCCCGAGCTGCGTGTCCGAGTGCGCAGCACGCGATGCCGCGTGGTCAGCGAGTGTCGATGCTGATGATGCGGATGCGAATGCGGATGCTGATGCTGATGCGGATGCATGTGCTGATGATGGGAATGCGGATATTTCTTGCCGCTCATCAAGCTGCTGGCCAGCCCCAGCATGGCGAAGCCGCTCAGCGTTGTTGTTGTTGTTGTCGCTGCTGCTGTTGAAGCTGTTGCTATTGCTGTTGTTGCGGCTGCTGTTGTTTCTGTAACTGATGTTGTTGTCTCTGTTGTGACCGCTGCTGCTGCAGCTGATGTTGTATTTGCTATGCCATTGGACAGCTCAATGTGCCCATTGCCATATCCATTGGCCGTTGCGGTCAGGCTTAGCGAGCCGCCGCCACCGCAAATGCCGCCAATGCCCAGGCCAGCCATAATATAAGCATTGTACGAGGATTGCTGCAAAAAAACCGAATATTTCATAATCTTCAAGGTCTAAAACGGACGAACAAAGAGCCATCCAATTGGTCAACATGCATCCAATTGGACAAGCGTGCTGGTATTACAGTATTCTAATTGGCAATTGGATATTTCGTATATCGATTGATCGCTCGACGATCATTCATCGCACTTACCTTTCGCTGTTGTGCAAATGCCGATAAGCGTTCGCGCTCACGACTCGTGTCCCTTGCACGCTGCTCCAACAACATTTCGTACTCTCGGCGTTTCTCTCTCTTGCGTTCCGCTTCCTCCAGTTCGTGCAAATTCGGCAGGCTGCCCATTTTGAATTATCTGCTTTTTTTTAGCGAATTTAAGTGTTTCTCAAAATTGCAATGCGAATGCGCTTTGTTTTAGGTGAGTATGTGTGTATGAGTGTGTGATTGTTCGAGTGTGTGTGTGTGTGTGTCAGTCCACGGAACTACAATAAGCGCAAGATGCGGCAACTGTTGAGTTCGTCTTCTTCTGACTGTTGTTCCTTGTTGTTTGCTGTGCATGCCGGAAACGGAAACGGAAACCGTAGAGCGGACATGTTTTCTTTTTTCCCCCTCGAGTAAATATGTGTATGTGCGTAGTTAACTCTTAGCGCATTTGATTTTCAATTGTCAACTGTTTCGTTGTCCTCGCTCTTAAAGGCAACCTCGCCATCGCAATCGTCGTGAACGCTGCGAACCGTTATGCATATGCACATATACACAAAAAATAGCGTGAGTGGGAGCACGATAGTGGGTATGAGCGTAACAATGTTTGTTTGTGAGTTAGTGGACGAGTTGCTTTGCCGAGTTCATTGTCCGCTGCTCGCTGCCAACAGTAGCAGCGCTGTCGCCGTCAAACTGTTAATGCAAAAACTTCTGTTGCTGCTGTTGTTGTTGTTGTTATTTGATATGCACTATTTAATGTGTGTTTATCGATATTTTTTGCTAGTCTTAGCCTGTTGAGATGATACAAGCACAAAAGGATTAGTAAATAGAAGAAAAGCAAATGATTTAGCTATTTGTGTGCATATGACGGTATTTTGGTATTTGCATTGCATGTGGGCCAATGCCATGCACACATACGCAAATCATCAGGTGTGTCCATTCGATATATATACACACACACAGACAGGCAGACAGAAGTTGAATAGATAAGCTTGTGTGTGTGTGCTTGCATGTGCTTAACTAAACGTATATGTATGTTTGTTTGCATGGCTGTTGAGCTGTACCGTTATTACTGCAAACCTAAGAAGTCGAAAGATTTGACAACACCATTAATATGCATTAATTTAAGCTGCTGCTGCTGTCAAGCGATTCGCAAGCTCAATTTAAATATTGACGACCTTCGGGGACATGAAGCTGCCTTCAAGGCTACAGCTCAAGTGTAATTAAACGATTTACACGCCCATCCCAAAACCGGAAAGGCGGCGACTCTTCATAAATATGCAATGCAAAATAGAAAATGTAACATTTAAGAAATGCAAAACATGCACGCACACACATATACACACATACAGACATACAGACATAGACAGACAAACAAAAATACATACTGACGCTGGCCGCTTTGCTCTGCATATTTATATACAACGGTATACACACACATGCATACATATACAAAGTATGCATATATATTACATGCGTAAATTACTGTCCGTGTGCCCGTGTGTGTATGCGTGTAGAAAGCTCGTGTTCAATGTTTATTTGTTTTGCCGTTGCTTTTGTCTTTGGCTTTGATTTTTGATTTTGCTTTTTGGTTTTTATTTGACTTTAACACTGTTGCACTTATCAAGACGCTCACCTTGCTAATTTGTTTATAGAACAAGTACGAACGAACAAACAAACAACAAACACACACACACACCCGCACGTAGGCCCACACAGAAGAAAAATGAACACTATTTAGGTGCCTAATCGAAGGGCCGTTCCCGTTTCGGCTGTCTGTCTTGGCTGGCACTGTTTTTGCCTTTGCTACTAGCTAGTCGCTGTTGACAAGGCTCTCACTCAGCCACACGCAAACTCCTCTAATAGCACACTGAACCAAAAGCCAAAGCCAAACCCACTGCTGCTGCTGCTGTTGCTGTTGCTGCTGCTTCGGCTGCTGCTGCTGCTGCTGCTGCTCATCTCGCCATTGTTGAAAATGGCCCTTGCTAGCAGCTGACATGCGCACTGATTGATGTTGATGCCATGCCCATGTAACTGCGAACCCCCATTGCCAGCATCTGACTCCCACTCGCCCTCCCCTGCCAGCGGTCGCCTGACCCCCCTCTGCATGTCCTTCAATAGCCTGCGGCTAAGTTGAGCAGCTGCGTGCTTGCGGCTTCAGACCAAAATAACAAACAAATTAGACTCCACTTAAAATCAAGAATCTTATCAGAACTAAGTACAGTCATTACAGCGCTGCGATTAAAATGGAAATCCAATTATTGAAAACAATTTTCAAATGTTTATTCACTCTTAACATTTACCTAACTGTCTCTCTAAAAACTTTAGCATAGTTTAAGTATTCAGCCTAATCGACGAAGCAAGGAGTTGTCATTGGGAAACCTATTTTGGGCTTACAGGTATAAATTATTTCGTCACAAGCTAATATGAAAACCTTGAGATAAAATTATTTATTTAATTTTATACATTTTGAAATATTTTGTTACTCGTAAATTTTTTTATTTGTATTTATTATGTATTATTTAGTTTCATACACTTTATTAATTTATTATTATTAATTCCTTTAATTTTCATTTATTATTTATTTATTGATTTCATTTCGAATAAATTTTATAATTTGTTTATTTTTTTTATATATTATAAATTAAAAAAATAATAATTTATAAATTTTTGTAATCAATTATTTTTTATTATTATTGAATCACAAAATAAATTAATTATTTTTTTTATTTAATAATTTGTATATTATATTATTTTTAATATTGGGATAAAATAAAATAAATATGAAAATAAATAAGCATGTCAAATAACTAAAGCACTTTTTCACAAGTAACAGCTGAGAGAGTAGACGAGAATTGATAAAAGAGAATGAAAAGGAAATAAAATATATTTTTAATGTACTTTAAAGCTAAGCCATATTTAACTAGAGCCGACCTAGGAACACGCAGTAGTTGACAGTAATCTCTGCTTGATTAAAAGACGTTACCTTTTAGAAATGTTTTGTTAAATTTATTTAAGACTAATTGCAAATTGGCTAATAGATGTGCACTACAAATCAGATTTAGTGTCCAGTGTCCAGTACACGCTTGAATTACATTTAGATATAGCATCGACTTCTTGACATATATATATATATATATATATATATATATATATATATATATATATATATATATATATATATATATATATATATATATATATATATATATATATATATATATATATATATATATATATATATATATATATATATATATATATATATATATATATATATATATATATAAATGATTCTATATATAACTAAGAGAGCATTTAATATATTGTTGAACTTTGTTTAAATTAAATTGAAATGCAGAAGAAATCTTTTATTGCATGCACAAATAGATTTATATATATATTTGTTTTGCATGCACTAAAATAAGACGTCTATATATATATTATATATCGACTTAAATCTAACAAATGTTGTTCAGTTTGGAATACAGATATTTGATAAATGTTTCGCTTTGAGCTGAGCCTTAACAAGTAGACAAGGTATTCTATTAAAGGGGGGTTCGGGGAACCTCCGTTCAGGTGGTCCACAATCGTAGACGCTACGTAACGAGCACTACTTTTCATCTATACATAAGCTATATATATATATATATAAATGTTCTTATAATTGTTTTCGATTCTGGCTGAGAGAACGAAACAGCCTCCATGAGTGCATTGCGTATACGGCACATTTAGACAGAAACAAAGTGGAAATAACAATTGAACAATTGCACAATTGGGTCAGGATCTGTGTTTAGTTCTGGCCCTGATCCTGATTGGCAAAATTGAGATGCATCTTGCACCAGCGCATGTGCTTGTCCCCCAATTGGAACTCGATACGGCGCACTGCGACAAGAAACGGATGCGATTCACAATCAAATTTGCGCAGCTCGTTTGTTTGGCTAACGCTGTGGGGCGCTAGATACAGGCCGGGGCCGTTGGCAAGGCCCGTCAGCAAGCGCAGACACTGCTCCACAATGAACTTGAGCGAGGCGCGCCGATGCAGCTCAAAGCAATCGTGTACTCCATACAATTCCCGCTGCTCGGCACACAAGCGCATATCGCTGGCAGCAACGTTGCAGCAATAGAGAAAGGAGCGAAGCCGCTGGGCGCTGACTCCATTGCGATTTAGATTAGGCAAGAGCAGCTGCAGCAATGATTCTGCAGCAGCCTCCCCATCAGCATTATCTTGCCCATTAACTGACTCTGCAGTCAGCTCATAATGTTCGAGTAGCTCACGCAAGCTGTTCCACGGTGGCTGCGATTCGTCGGCCATGTGGAAGCACTGTTCGTAAGCCCGACTCAGCAGCAGCTGGCGATAATGATAGCTGCTGTAGTCGGTTATGTGCTTGCGTATGAACTTCTCCGTCCGCATCAGCTCCGATTGCAGCAGACAGGGCGGGGCATTCTGCAACACCCACTGACGATGCGACCAGGCGTGATAATTGCTCGCACAGCGATCAGCGGCACGTTCGCAAATGCTAATCTCATGTGGCCAGTCGATGGCATCGGCGCCTGAATGGGTATTCAAAAGAAAAGGAAAACTCTATAGAAGTGCATTGCGATAAGTAGACGAGTTCAGACCCACTTTGAAAGGAGTAGAGCCAGCGCCGATAGGCGAACGCCTCATTTGACTTTGGCTTGATGGACAACACCAGCGCTGAGAATTGCAGCTCCTTGTTGATACTTAAACGATTCTTTTGCACCAGCTGGCGGCGTATGTGCCAAAAGGTCGTCACATCCGGATTGATCAATAGTGCCACATTCAAATACTTGGCCAGCGAATCGCTCTGCTGTTGCTGCTGCAGTGTGCGCAATTGTTGTTGCATCGTTTGCTTGCGGTGAGAGATAAGAATGCGATGCGCATGATCGTAGACATGCTGAGCGCACCACGACTCCAAGCCCAAGTTGTGATCCACATGCACCACCGGTGACTTATTGCAATTCGTTTCCTTGGGTATGATCTCAAATGAGGATCTGAAAGGAATGATGAGTTGACTCTATGTTATCAATCCCATGTGGCATTCGCTTACAAATCGGCATCCTTGAGAAATACAGCATTTATGTCCCGAATGATCTTCTCGCATAGCACTTTCTTCTCATTGTTCAAGTCCAAATTCATTTCGGCTTCCATTTTTGCGCTTCGATCTTCGATCCGTTTCGTTCCTCTGCAGCTGCTGTCGACGATTGATCGCTTGCCTCCGTCGATTCAATTGTATTGGGCACATTTATTGCTGTCAATTAATATCTATATATTTATGGCTTTAAATTTACCACATTTCATGCGTTCTATTTGCTTTTTCTTCTACGTCTCTTGTCCATCAAGTCAGACACGAGCCCATCTTTGAGCTGAGTTAATTAAAAGATTCATCAGAGGGGACGTTGCGACGCTAACTGGAAGCTTCACTGTGACATTTGCTTGGCAGTATAGGTATATCGTTCACATTCCATCCGACGGCCTCAGCCTCGGCGTTGATAAATAAATTTCAATTAAAATTGAATCTATTTGCTGGCTACTGCTGCTATCGTTGTTGTTGCTGTTTGTTTGTTTTTAACGAATCAGCACTGCGGCATTCAACACATTTATTCAATCACGCATAACTTTTGTTGTTGTTGTTCTGTATTTGGCTTCAATTCGCATAAAGCGTCAACGAAACACATTAAACAAATTATTTTGTAAATAAATATGCCTCCCTGCTTGTTGTTATTAATATTGTTGTTGCTCTAAATATATCGATACTTAGCGACAAGAAAACATCGATTACACGTATGCCGCGTGTCTTCTGCAGTGCACTAAGTTAAACACTAAAAAGCTGCAATAAATATTTTATTTGAAAATTACAATTAATTTCTAGTACAGTCTAATTGGAATCCTAATTTAATATATGTTATTTTAACATTTGTTATTTTCTGACAACTACTCAGCATTAACTAGCCAGCAATGGCTTGCATTAAAATTCGGTATTTTAACGGCTGCTAGCAGGCCGATCATATGGTATAACAATGTGACCAAATTCAGAAAACGATCGTTATCGATATAAATGTATCGAAATTTGCAAGTCCAACATATTGTTGCCTTCCACGTGCGCGCGCGCTGACGCCAATTGACAACGACAACATATCAATAAAGATGAATGCCTTCCAGCCACTTAATGTGCGACGATTTCAACAGAAGGCGCAAGTAGTCACGCCCGACACAATTTACTGGGATCGCTTAGCGGTAAGTCCCATATTCACAGTGTAAAAATATCCAAAATAAACATAAGCCAATTTACCAAACAGAAACCCGAGCTGCTGAAGGAGCACACAACGATAGACTATATAGACTTCAGTCCCAGTGATCCTTGCAACTTTGTGCTGACCTGTTCGGTGCGTGTACAAATCTATAACCTGGTGACCAAGCTTGTGGTCAAGAACTTGTCACGTTTCCAAAAGACCGCATACGGTGCGACTTTTCGTCAGGATGGTCGTCTCTTGGTCGCCGGTGACGAAGAAGGACATGTGAAACTCTTCGACACGACCAGCCGTAATATATTGCGCTTGTTCAAGGGTCACAAGGCTCCCGTTCATCGCACCTTCTTTACCGCCGACAAGCTGCACCTGGCAAGCTTTGCGGATGACAAATCCGTCCGACTCTGGGATGTGGCCAACGAGAAGGTGGTGCAAACATACGAAGATGCCCACACCGATTACATACGTGCCGGTGCAATGCATCCACAGGCATCTCACATGTTCATTTCCGGCGGCTACGATGGCAAAATCAATTTATATGATACACGCGCCGAGCAAGCCATTACCCAGACTTTAGATCATGGCAGTCCCGTGGAGTCGATGCTGTTTCTGCCTAATGGCTCGATATTCATCACGGCCGGTGGCACACAGGTGCGCGTATGGGACTTGATAAGCGGTAGTCGGCTGCTGACGACGATGTCGCAGCACCATAAGACCATCACCTGTCTGCGCCTCGGCTCTGATGGTCGACGCCTGTTGTCCGGCGGATTGGATCGTCATGTAAAGATCTACGATGTGAGCACCTATAAAACGGTGCATACCCTCACCTATCCAAATGCTGTTGTTAGCCTGGGCGTTGCTGCCAAAGACCAGGCTGTTGTTGCCGGCATGGTCGATGGCCTCGTCTCCATTAAGCGCATGATTGTCGACAGCAAACCGAGTCACCTGAAACAGATCAAGGCCAGCCAGCGGCACAAGCGTTCCCAGAAGACGACACGTCCCAGTACCACTGTTAATGTCGATCACGTCATAACTGAGAGAAGGAAAACTCCCAAGCTGCAGGAATTCGATCATCATCTGCGCAAATTTAACTACAAAAAGGCGCTCGACTGTGTCTGCACGCCGACAAATTTAGAGCAATTCCCGGAGAACATTGTGGCCGTCGTTACGGAGCTGCAGCATCGCAGCGCGCTTCAAGCTGCACTCACGGATCGCAAAGACATTACGATAATCAGATTCATAAACTTCCTGTGCGATCATTTGGGCGAGGTGCGATTTATGCGTACGCTGTTGAATGCAGCCAGCGCGGTGATGGATGTATTTGAGAACAATACCTTTAACTACAATAAACAAATGGTCGCAGCCTTGGAGCGACTTAGAGCAACGATGGAATCGGAAGTGCAGCTCACCTGTCAACTGCTCGAGATCAAAGGTGCCCTCGAGATGATCATTGGCGGGGCCATTGACAACAATGAGACAAGCTCAAAGCCTATCTACACTCAGCCAAATCCAACCAAAATGCATCCCTCTAAAGCCGCCTCCAACTACGTAGTCATTGTCGATTGATCGATTGGTCGATTGACCGACTTATCGATCGATCCTATGTCCTAAGTCTAATTTCTAGCTTTAGTTTTACTGCAGTGAAATCTTGCTCTATTTATGTTTGCATTTCATTCATTTACTTAAGCTAATGTTTCGATAAATTGTACAAAGCTAAATTCTCTTTCGCTTTAGTTATTTGTTAGCCAAGCCTGGAAATGTAATGCAAAAAAGAGAAAGATTTACGAAGTTGGTCTGATAAACGTACGACCTTAACGTGAAAATAGAAAAATAAAAAAATAATGTTATTTGAAATTCTCGTTTTTGTATTTAAATATTATTAGATATATTTTTGTTTTTTTTTTTTTTTGTTAACTCGGAAAGTCTTCAAGCCACCCTCGTTTATGGTCATTGCATCTTAATATTTCCAATCAATTTTCTACGTAATTTTATTCTTTTTATCGCAATTTATTTTATTGGGCTTTGTTTTTGTATTGTTTGTTTTTTTTTTACGGTTATTTGGAAAGACGAATTTACAGTTAGAATTTGCTTACGCTCGTGGTGTTTTTTGTTGTTTTGCCTTCGATTTTTCGTTTCTCTGTTGTTTTCGCTTAACGTTTAACTCCTCTAGTTGTATATGCTACACATATGTATATTTATTTATATACATATATATATGTGTGTATATATATATAGATATATGTTTACTATAGCTACGTCCGCAATCGCAATCCCTTAAAGCTAGAGCGAAATATATAAGGTTACATGTTTAATAACTAAAAAAAATATTAGTATATTACGTTACTTAACTAATTACAACTAGGTATATGCAGGTGTGTGTATGCTTGCTTTTTTTCTCTCTTCTGCACTGTTCTAATCACCCAGTGTCCCATTGTGAACAAAAGGAACAAAAAGCAGTTAATTTTCATACAAAATTCAACACTTTTGACACCTGCGTCGAATCGGTACACCTACATTACATATACATATGCATAAATTGCCTTTACATTTACACGCGGCTGTTGCTGCTGTTGCAATTGTTATCGTTATCGTTATATTTATCATAATCGGTAAGTGTTAATTATTGCTGCTAACTGTACAATTTTATCGTTTACAAATATAAATATATATTTTTTTTTTTTGTTTTTAATATATATATTCAAAGCAATGAATTTTTAATGGATTTTGCAGGATAGGATCTCTAAAAAAATTTTTTAACAAAAAAGCTCTTATAGATAACATAGAGGATTTTGAGAAGCACAACATGATTTCGCTTCTGCTGTTTTTTTTCTACTATACATAAATCATCAAGAGACGAGAGACAGACAGAATGACAACTTAAACGTTTCACATAATACAATACGAGTTAAAACGAAAAACAAAAAAATACAATTACATTTCATGTATACACAAATACATGCACACATACATCGCAACACACATGCACTATTTTGCATCGTGTATGTATGTATGTGTGCATATATCGATGCACGTAATGTATGTCAGCATATATATGCAAGTATTTCCTTTCTTTTTATCAAGTATACACAATTTGCAGAACTTAATTTGAACGACGCAACGTCCATTATATTAATAATGTTTGAATGGCGGGTTCGATTTAAATGATGATGATGATGCTGCTCCGACTGCTGTAGCTCTGACTGCTGCTGCTGCTGCTTCGGCTCCTTCTACGTGGCTTATGTCGCATGTGTCTGGTATTTTTGGGGGTAGGTTTTTTGTTTTGTTTTGTTTGTGTATATATAAATAACTATATATATATATATATATATATATATATATATATATATATATATATATATATGTATATATATATATATATATATATATATATATATATATATATATATATATATATATATATATATGTATATATATATATATACATATATATATATATATAGATGAGCGGCATTTGGCAAACGTCCGTTCCTTAAGCCTGTATAAACACCTAAGTTACAGCAAATCTTAGCCATCCTCCTTCGGCGGCGTAAACCAACCTGTCGACAACAACAACGAAAGTTAACACAATTTGATAACAATTTGAATTGGATTTCATTCCATAATACCATTTTTCTCGTGTATCTGCACTAAAGATTTGAAGCTCTGCTGAGCCCTTGCTAAACTGTATTGTCCCTGGGTGAGCGCCTGCTTTGGGTAAAAGTAAATAGTTAATAGTTCTTGATATCCGATTACGACGCACCTTTGTAGCACCAAATTGTATGCGCGCCTTGCCCTTGACCAGCGTCGCGGCAATTTGCATGATCACGGCTTCGACTGTGTAGGCGGAACTCCAGCCTTGTTTGGTCAGCAGCTCCATGCAAATAGCGCCGCCAATGAGCACATAGCCACCTGATCAAAAGCGTTGAAAGCATTAGAATCGTTGATACATGGAGCAATTGATTAATTAGATAATCAAGCAGTCACCTGAGATGATTGGATGCACGACACGAACAAAGGGCGGCTCGAATGGATACGTCTCTTTGAAAAGTATGTTGAGCAATATACTATCTTTGCCCTCCTTCTCTTTCAGCTGCAACAGATCGCTGTGCAATGGACTATCCGGGTCAACAGACTTAAGGCGTATATTCCACTCATAAATCGAATCGTTGACGAGCTCTAGTGAGTACATGTTCTTCTTGAACGCATCGGATCGATAAATATCACGTAGTTCTTTCATCAGGCGATCTGTTGCCTGTACTGAACCAGAAACTGAACCCTGCATCAATTAGAAAGAGATAGTGTGACAGAGAGACAGTTATACGCATATATTTATATATATATATATATTTCTTACGCACTTTTAAATAGTCTTGTCTTTGACTTTGACGCAGTCTTTCTAAAGTCGCTAAATGTTCCACTTCCATATCATCTTTCTGCTTGAGATATTTGGTTATTATTAATAACAATAATTACTGTTTGTTTGCTTGTTTGCTTACGTACTTTATTTGTGTTCCGTACATCATCCATTTCCAATGGCAGGTCCTCATCGCCCTCGCTTTCCTGCTCGCTCTCGCCGATAGGATCCTCGATTTCGTCCTGATCCGAATCAGTCTCCTCGTTGCCATGCGGGCCCGCTCCACCGCCAACGCCACCCCCAACACCACCACCTGCTGAACGCTCCAAGCGTAATGGCGAGGCAGAGGGCGGTGGCGTTTGCAGCGGCAGCGCTAAATTATCAATATCGGGTGGCAGTGGAACATTGTGTAAGCGGCATAGCTCGCGCAGCAATATGCCAACCTGATGAATGAAATCGGGGATTAATGCACGATTTGAGAATGACAATGTAGACACGATAACTTACCTGGTTAATCACATGATTATCGCGACCATTTGTGTTGCTAAGGATTTGTACAGCATTCGTGACACTAGTCTCCTCGCTCTCGGCAAACCAAACGGGCGGCGATGATGGATACGTCTCCTGATGACGAGAAAAATAAAAAAAAAATTAATATCAAGATATATACATGAATGTTCTTCATAATAATATAATGCAGATGCTACTAAATATAAGAAATTTGTCAATTTTTTATGGCATTTGATTGTTGACATCTTATTAATATATATATAAATTGACAAAATTTGTCTCTACCAAAAACAGTTTCCTCTGATTGATTTGTTAAATATTAAATATATAAAAGGCCAAAAACACGTAATTAATTTATAATCGTTGCTAAAAACGGTCGATTTATTGATAGACTTAACTGATAAAAACAGTTGGCTAAAAAGCCAAATAATAACTGCATATATATTTATATATACACAATATATACAATAATATATATATATATATATATATGGAGACTAACAAAAGCTGCGAGACAGCGTCAATGAAGTTACATATATAACCTTTAATTAGATCGTTGAACCAAAGCAGAGTCGAAGCTGAGCAGAGAGCAGCAATAAGAGAGGCACAAAGCCAGAGGGGAAGGCGGTTGGGGAAGGAGCGCACAGTAGGAAAGACAGAAGCGAACTCAGCAAGTTGGCAACTGTTTGTTGTTGGAGGCGCAGGGCAATGAATCATAAATTATTGAAGCACGCTGCCCCTAAATAAGAATCGACAGCAGCACGATAAAACAGCGTGTGAGAGAATTTTACAAAAGGTAAAAGAAGAAGAAGAAAAGAATTAAGAAAATAAGCAATAAGAAGCGAGTAGAAGAGAAAATACCCTAGTGATTAAGGAATGTATAGCAAATATCCAAGATTCTTAACCTGCTTTGCTTAGCTAAGCTAATTTATTGGAAATTTGGGCTTCTAGTTACTTATACTAGTCAAACGACTTTGTGACTATATAAACATAATGAATTAATAGCAATTCTCTAACACATATATCTCGAATCTACTATACTTATAATAATTATACACAACTTCTCACGCTGAACCTTTACAAACTCCTTCTATATGTTGCATATAATATGACAATATGTTAATACCTTTGCATAAAGCATAGAGAGAAACAAAAAGATGTAAACGAAATACATGATCGAAAAAGATGACATGAAAGACAAATTTCGCAGCAGCAAATCTGAGAGCAAAAACTGCAGAACGAAAGAAAGAGCGAGAGCAAAAGAGAGTGATAGGGCAAATGGCAGCCTGTAGGATAAACCAATGGAATTTTACTGTAAAATTTGCAAGACGGCAATAAGTTTTAGGTGAGCGCTCAGCTCCTACTGGAAATTCGTGAGATGAAAGGAAAGAGTAAGGTGACCTTGGTCATATTATTAAATGTGAAGTCATTTGTTCATGTTTACAATTTGCATAGATTGTTTGTAATTAAAAGTATTTATATTTTTACAACAATTGAAACGTAAATAAGGGTCTGTTTTTTTGTGCTTGGCAACAACTGTAATTAAGATCACAAAGAGTGTCTAAGGGACTTAATCAATTGGACACTACATAAATGAGAAAGAACAAATTCTCAGTCAGATAGTCAGTTTGTTAATTATCAATCAATTGTCAGTCGTATTTACTAAATATATTTAATGTCTGCCCGGATGTGTATATGTATAAATATAACTATGCGTATGTATGTATGTTACTACTTACCGTTATGTTTGCATGTATGTCGTAACGCTTGCCATTCTTATCGATGAACCTGCACAAAAGTTCATCCACGCTGGAATTGAGTATCTGAAAGCGGTCGTGGTTCTTCGGAAAGATTTTCTCCAGTGTTTTGATTTCTTGCTTTAGTGTGTTAAGGCACGCCATATTGGCGGGCAAGGCAACGTGACAGCCAGTCAGTCACGGATTCGCCTCCCACCGGAGCCCGAGTAGCCGTGTGTGTGTGTGTGTGTGCTGGCAGTAGAAGGGGAGCAGATAGCAGCACAACTAACCACCACTACTTCCACATAAACGCTGGCACGGTAACGGACACGCACGGACACACGCACACGGAGACGCACATGCACCTATACAATGCAAGCGTCTGAGTGTCTCGGTGCTCTTTGTTTTTAATATTATTTGCTTTTGACGTTGTTCGTATTTTTTCTTTATTTACTTCTTTTTTGTGTTGTTGTAACGTTTGGGTCCCTTTGCTCAGACTCTCTTTCTCTCTATCGTATTGTGCGTGCGGTCGACGGTAGGTGGCGTTCGTCTAGCTGTAACTTGTTTTAAAGCTAGCAAAGGCTGCTATTCTTCAGTTTTCTGTCTCGCTCTCTTACACACCGTCTTGCTTTTATTGAGCACTTATTTTTATTAATTTTGTTGGAGGTAGTTGATATTATACTGTTATTAAAACAGCAGCATCAGCAGGGTAAGGCAAATTTATCAACATCTTCGGCATTGGCATCGACTACCCACGCTCGCGTTTTCTTTGTATTTATGATTTGTTGGCTGCTCGATGCTAGTATTGGTGTTGTTCTTATAATTACTCGTTATTGTTATTGTTGTTATTATTATTGTTATTTTGTTGTTGTTATTATTATTGTTGCTGCTGCACTTCACTTGACTTGTCTTCTGCGCCGCCCCCTACACAGCATGCGCTCAACTTTTGACGCGACGCTTTCGCTCTCGTCTTCCTCTCCCTTTCCCACTCGTTGCGGTCTTTCACTTTGTGGCGTCGTTTCGTTGACTTTCAGCAATGTCCTCCTCTATCGCTTTCTATTGGGGGTCCTTGATTTGTGGCTTCTTCACTCTGCGTATTTAGAAACGATAACGACATGAGCACGTGTTTCAGTTGCAATCGTTGCAAACATGAAAATAACAACCACACACGACAAAAAAAAAATTATCTTTTACTAGCATATACAAAGCTATGAAAAAATTACATTCAAACAAACTAAATGAAATACAACTTTTACCATGATTGCTTCTTTTTTGTGTCTAGCTTGCTACGTCAGCTTTTATTTGCTGATATATATATATATGTACATGCATACATTTATGATATATAAATAAGAAAATTTTAAACTTGTTTGGCAAATCAATTTGGTCTGTTTTTCCATTTCATTATTATTTTAATACTTGGCCTAACACATTTTGCATGAATGCAATGACTCACATTATCTCTTATTTTTATAACTATTTGCACTCGATCAAAAATCAAAATGGAGCGCCTAATGTGTTTCATTTACAGTTTAAAATTAGAGTCAATCGCCTCTCTACGTGAGTGAGTGCAAAAAAGTCTGTAAAAGCTTAAGCCCAGAACAGCTGCGACAGCGCATAGTAGAATGAAAGTGATTTTCTCCATGCCAAAGTCTCAGTATACCAACACATATGCAATGCCTGGGTGCGATAACAATTCAAATGCGATGCTTTCATTTTTTGGCGCCTCTGGCGCTACTGTGCACGGCTTGAAGCTTACTCTCACGCCGAATATGGGAGGCTGTAAGAGAGAGAGCTCGAAGAGAGCGCTCTAATTCAGTTTTGCCTGCCCAGCTGCTGGACTGACGGGCTGAAGACAGTTCAATGTAAAACCGTACGAACACACGCACACTTGCACACATGCTAATTTAAAAACATATACATATATGTACATAATACAGATGTAGGCATAAATGTTGACATGTACAGCGGAGCATATCAACGAAACGGTAATGAACAACAATAATTTTTAATGTTGTCTATTGTGCATACACGCACTTATGCACATTAAGATGCATGCATGCATACACAAATGTAACTAATTGACCTCTCACTGCCGCCTTGCTGCTGAAGCTGTCACCGCTATGCTGCACTTTGTTTTAATCAATCTACCTTATCCTGCACTTTACACATTCAAAACAGAAATCGAACAAGGGGAGATGAAAACGTTGAGCTCCTTTGTTTGCGTATACCAAACACACACAGACGCACACATTTACACAAACGCACACACGCAGACAGCACACAGACGCATGTACGCAGTGAACCCGTTCGAATTAAGTTCTAAACGTACAAAGTAAAAAAGTATAGTATAAATAAATAATAACAATATGGGCAAGTGCAAAGAAAACTGAAAAGCCAACAATAAATAAACACAGGCAAAGGCACGCACAGACAGACAAACACACACACACGGACACAATAATAAAAAGCAGCGGAGTCAGTCGCACACCCGCTTGGCACCTTTACGACATCGTCAATTTGGCTCCACCGGACCGATCGACCTGCTGCATTGCACTCCACTCCGTCCGTCGACTTGAAGCTGCGAAATTTTACTGAAAAATCACTTTCGCCAGACAGGCGCCGTCGCCGTGCAAGCAACTCACTCACACAACTAACATAATTATGTATGTGTACGTGCCGAAAGCAGCCGCAACAGAATCAGTGAGCGGAGCAACAATGACAATCGAAAGAAGTTATCGGTGCGCTTACGTTGCTATCGAAAGGAAATTCGCACTCTATCACACACACATATGAATATATGTGTGTATGAAATTACATATGTACGTATGCAAGGCAAATGTAAACGTTGAATGTAAAAACGAACATATTACCAATCGGCTTCTCTCCACCCCCCTTTGCAACAAATGTATTCGTCACTTTTTAAGCAAAACTCACATTGTTGTGCTATCGAAATGGCTGACTGGCTGGCTCGCTGCTGTTTTCAAATAATTTTTCCAACAAAATCAATTGACATATACAATAAATACATGTGTTTAGGTATGTACATACATACACATGTTTTTATTACACAGTTCCAAACATTACAGGAAATCTTACAACACACTTTAATTTGTAGATTCGTATGGATGTATGGTACGATATGGATGCACATTCATACATTAACAAGCAGGTAACAATTACCTGTACACAATACCTTAATTTAAACTATATATGCTTGTATTTGAGAGTTTTGCACGATTGCACTAATTCGCCTTCGCCATATTTTTTGTGGCAAATGGCTTTTGATGTGTCGCAGTTGTATATGTATTTGTGGGAACGCGATTGGTTTTTTTTTTTTGTTATTGTTCTTGTGGTTTGAAGTTCAGTGTGTGGGAGTTTTATAAGTTCTATCAGTTAATATAGACGTGCACTGTTTTTTTTTTTAACTAGAATTATTGGCTTCAACTACAATATGCTCCCGAAACTTAGTAATCACGTAGGCGTGTAAAATGTCTCCGGAATTATAATCTATGTACATCGTCTTCCGCGAACGTCTGACGATATTTCTTGCATAAAAGGTGTGACCAGATGCGTGTATAAAAGAAATCACCAGTTTTCTCGAAATATCAAACAAAATATCGGTTTTTACATACGATCTTATCGTGCAAAACACTGATAACTATTAAAAAAACACAAACTGAATTACGAAATTCAATACTTAATTAATGAGCTATAATTGGTCTACAAACGTAATTGCGAGAGACATCACAGCTTACTTCAAATATCGATGCTTACCAAAATGCATTGTTACCAATTGCTATCGATATTGGGCATTGGAATTTGGTACATCAGCATCAGCTGGTACCATTTTTTGAACATTCGTACATATATATGTGTTTGTGTTTTATTAAGATGACTTTTGAAACTAATCATTTAATTTTTAATCGAATACTAATTTTTTTATTACGAAAAAGACAACTACATTACCAGAATGCATTTTTTTTACTTATTAGCTTATTTAATTTTTATTATATTTTTGAGCTTTTTCCCGTTATTTTTACTTTAATTTATACTAATTCAATTAAAGTGTTTATTCTTAATGTTGTTTTTTTTTTATATTTATATTTTTTTTTTTAGATATAGGGCGCACATGAATGTTGATAAATGTTAAGTGTGAGGAGTTTTGAGTACTTCAAGTCTTTTTGTGTTTTGTTTTTATTTAATTTTTAGATAATATATCCAGGCATATATAGAATGATGAACTTAAAGCACGACGGAATGAAAATTGAATTTTTACATTTCATTAAATTTCTTTAGTTATAGATTTAAGTTTAAAGTAGCATAATTTAACCCCGCCATTAGCTAGTAAGAACAAAATAATAATTTAGGATAAAAAAAAACCAACTAACGCTGTTTTTTCATCTAATCGTTTTTTCTTTAATCGTGTACGAAAAATGCTTTGGGGCAACAGATCAGAGCCACCCACCCGTAAGTCAACTTATGCCCCCTCCATTTTCGTTTTACTACTTCAAAGCTTCTTGCGGATTTTCCCCGTAACCCGTTACTTCCCCTCCCTTCCGATCAAGCCCAATGCATTAAGCGCACAACTTTCCCCCCAGTTCCTGTTTTCACATTTTCTCTGATTTTTAATTGTCCTGCGTTTTTTCTCTCTCTCTCTCTCTCTCTCTCTTTCGCTCTCTGGCTTCCTCTGTCTCTCTCATGCTCTCTTTGCCTGTTCATTTCGTGCAGTCTTGCTTTAGAGTTCGCTGTGTGGCGTGTTTGCGTCGACAGTGGGCGTGGCTGTCACATTCTCCTCCTTCTGCTGTTCCTTTGTTGCCTTCTCAGTGTTATCCTTGGCGGCATCCTCACCGTTGTCGCCGCTGCCACTGCCACTGCCTTGAACAGCCTCTTCACTAGCTGCTGGCTCCTTAGCCTTTTTATCGACCTTCGCCTTGGGCTTCCAGATCTTCATCTTGTTGGCCATATACTGAACCTCGCGATCCAGCGTGGACATCTTCTTCATCATATCCTGCACGGTTAAACGAACATCTGCATTCCGGCTTAGCTTCTTTTGGGCGGCGACTTCGGTCTTAAGCCAGGTGCTCGACTCTGTGATCACTTTGACGAGCGTATCGATCTCCACCTGGGTGAAGACATCCATTTCGGGATTTGAGTCCTTGGTGAGGTTGCGTGCCGTCACCAGGAACTTCTCAGCGCTATCGAGCATGCCCTTGAAGGACTTGATCGCATCGGGACGTTCCTCGTGCTCCCAGTGGCGGCCGAGGAATACATTTGAGAGCTTCTTCAGCTGCTGCAACTTCTCCTCATAGATTTCGGGCGTACGATTCTCCTCATCCTCGTACAGCCACTCGGACAGCTTACTGCACTCAGCTAACAACTGCTCCTTCTCCTCGGCCGTGGCACAGTCTGCATAAGGCTTCTCATCCAGCTTCTGCTGTACTTCGATGATGTGCGATTCGAGTGCATTGAATGTGGACTCCAAGCGCACGCGCTCCTCCTCAACTTTGTTGATGGCTTGCAGTTTGGCCAAAGCATCGTTGTAACCGCTTCCACTTAAAGGCAGTGTAAATCTCAGCTCTGTCTTGTGCGCCACGGGCGTTTTGATGGTGACCAGTTTGATGGTTTCATTCTTGGCCTCGGTTTTGTTCTCCTCCTCATTTTTATTTGGAGCTGATTCGTTGACATCTCCGCTCTTTTTGGTCTCATCCTCAGACTTGGATTCGGCTGGCTCCTCGCTAGACTCCTGGTCTTTGGGCGTTGGGGTCTCGCTGTCATCGACTGTTGCTTTCTCGGCCTCCTTGGTGAAGAGCTTGCTGATGGTGCTGCCCAGCTTGGCCAAGGTGCTGTCCTCGTCCAGATCCTCCTCGATCTTTTGCTTCTCATAAACGTACTCGACGCCCGTGCAGCGGAAAATGCCAGAATCATCCAGGTAGAAGTAGGCCTTGATGCCCTTGTTGTCCACCTGATCCTTCTTCGATTTCTCCAGCAGCTCCTTGACCTTCTGTAGTTCAACGCGCGTGATATTCAGGCTACCAATAGCAGCAATATCATCCGCGCTGTAGCGTTCCAAGTCTCCATAGTTTACATAGAATTCAAAGTCATCCGTGTGCTTGTTGAAGGTGATAACCTTCTTCTGTGGATAGGGATTCATCAAAGCGAAGAGGGCGCGCTTCACTTGCTTAACGGCTGCACCATCGCCCGGATCGCGTTCAAAGGATACTTGAAGAGGGAAGATCACCGCATCCTTAACTATGAACTTCTTCACCTTGAAGCCGCTGGACAGATCTGCTGCCTTGTAGACGGCGCCCATGGTGGCCGATTCATCAGCATTAAGATTTTTGCCCAGCTCCTGTTTGATCAGCTGCTTGATTGTCTCCTGGACACGTGGCACACGCGTGCCGCCGCCAAAGAGTATCACCTGATTGATCACATCCAGCGACAGATTCGACGTGGCCAAAGCATCTTCCAATGGTTTAGTGGTGCGTGGCCACAGATCAGCGCATAGCTCCTCCAGTTTCTCTCTGGACACCTGTAGCTTAAAGTCATGATCCTCCAGCAGATTCTCAATTTGAGCGTAATGATCGTTGTTGGCCGACAACACGTTCTTCAAACGTCCCGCTTCCTTGAACAGTTTGGCCAGCGCCCGTGGACTCTTCGTGACATCCGTTTTGGTCTTCTTGAGGGCATTGAACTCCATGGCCAGATAGTCGCGTAGGCGCAGCTGTATCTCCAGACCGCCCAGCGTTCGATCATAGCCAACGCCCAGCACCTGTACCACCGGATTGATCTCCTTGGTCTGCTTATCCTTGACCAACTGATAGCTAACCACCGCAGCGGACGTCTTGTAAGCGCCCATATCATAGAAGAGGAAATATTGTGCCGTCTCATTGATCTCGCCCCGATGGAATACACCATAGTTGAGCGCTACGGCGGCATAGTCGTTGATCAGTTGCAGTACCTTCAGATTGGCCAATTGTGCTGCCACCAGCAAAGCCTCTCGCTCCGCCTGACCGAAATAGCCGGGCACGGTTAGCACACATTCAGTGATCGATTGCTGTGTCGATTCTTGTGCGTATTCCTTGGCCTTGCCCAGCAATTGGGCAACCAGCTCCTCCACGCTGAACTCCTCGGTGTCGCTCTTCTTGAAGACCACTGTATTCCGCTCCTTGTCGCCTAGGATGGTGTAGTACGGAAAGCGTTTTCTGTAAATGTTCAAAGTTATTAGAAACAGATTTGAAAGGGTTCTATAGAGGTTTAGCGATCTACTGTCAGCTCTTGAAAGTATATTACTGATCTTCAGCAACTGCTGCTAGAGGCAGACTTGGTACATATCCTTAACAGAGCTTAAAGTTCGAGGAACAACTTATGTAATTGATGGTAACGATAAATAGTTAGTTTCTTTATTTGAAGGAAACAACAAATTTTTCCATAACTGCAAACAGCCATTTTACGCCCCTAGTTGTATAAATGAAGTAAATTTTGAGAAATAACGGTACATGGTGATAATAATTTTCTCAATTAATGTACTTAAAAGTAATGTAAATAGTAATGCCAAATTACAACGGAAATTGCAAATGTCTTATTTGTAACGATTTTCCCCACTTAAATTTCGTTACAGTTCAATGTTAATTTGGACATTTATTTCTAAATATCGCCGCGCTAGCAGCTATTAACATAAAACGTTTACAGTTTGCTAACATGACGTGGCCCACACATGCACGGCCACAGCGTGCTATCGCGAATGTGGGGAGAGAGAGCGAGAGAGAGGGGTGAAAATAATCAACTTACCTGTACAGATCAACAATAGGATTATCAATGGTCTTGCCCAGTAAATCCAATAGGTAACCATAGGCGGCAGAGGGTTCGCGTATTCCAATCGTTTGTGCGTCCTCGCCAATAGTGCGCGTATTATCGCGGAAGGCGATGATGGCCGGCGTTTTGCGTTTCGACTCGCGATTCAAAGCGATCTCCATTGGCACGCCGGGCGATACGACACCCACTTTCATCCACTCGCTGCCGAGATCAACAGACATAACAGCGGCCCCATGGTTGCCGGTCAATTGAAATGCCATGATGCACAAGCAGGCGAACAGCATAGAGAACGAGAGGCGGCCACCAGCTGTTAACGAGCTCAATCTTTGATTGGCCATTTTAATGCAGACTCACTGTATACAAAAAGAAAGAACATGTATATAAGATATATAAATGTCAGTTAGCCACGGGTGCAATAACCTCTTCTTTCTTATTTTAAACACCATTCGTTTTTTTTTCTTTGCCAACGCAAGCAGCAGCGGCAGCAGCAGCTGTTAGGCCCACCCCTTGCACTTACGTTTTGATTTTATGTTTGCTTATTTCTTGTTTGCGGCCAATGCCTGCAGCGGGAATGATTGAATATGATGATCCGTTGTTAACGTTTTATTTCAACAAAAGCTTGCCAATTAATAAAAATCTCGCTAGCCCAGCTAAAATAGCCGCCGTTCAGGTGTTAAGGGGCTAACGTTGAAGAAGAAGAAAACGTTGACGTGTTGATTTGGCAGCGAACGCCAGACTTCAATAATATAATCGAAATTATCGATACATTTGTATGCACAGCTGATTTACAGAATAAAGCGAAAGCGATAGATGGCGCTAGCTAACATTGAACACAAATGTTAAATAACATAGGCAAAGCTCATTAGCATTTAGTTCGTTTTAAAATTTCCCGCTTTAACTATATACTGACAAACATATAATTATTTTTTTCCGAACTCCTTTCTTTTTATCTATAGTCAGCATATTTTTTTATGCCGCATACCAGACATACTAGCTAAGTCAGCAAATATGATAATCATTACAATTATGCGACCCACATAACTTACCTCTAGTTGCTGACAATTATTAAAATATATTTCTACCATATACCCTACAAGAGACAAAAGTTGATCAATTTTAATATGATATATATCGACCTCATGGCTTTTAAGCTTACGGTAATGCAACACTTTGGCTCTTTGATCAATTCCAGTGAAGTGTATCTGCGCGTTTTATGAACAAAAACTAGAGCACAAATGATATACAGCAACGCCAACTCAATCAGAAATATATATATATATATATATATATATATATATATATATATATATATATGTTGTTGTACATAAATATATGTAAACGTATTTCATGACACGATTGGTTCAGGCGAAAATTTGCAACCATTTCCCTTGCGTAATGTTCGGGTTTTTGCTGATCTGGATCTTCCGAGCTCATAAAAGAATTCGCCACCCAAGTCAAGTTGATCATACCAAATAGATCGATTGCGACGAACATGCACGGATCGCACCTGTTAACGTTTTTGGGCATTAGCTGCCTCGTGGCAGCGGCTACTTCGGACTTTCTGGCGGCCAGCAATGAGCAGCTCGAGGACTTCAACATCCCGGAGGATAACATAGACGAACGCTTCTCACGCTCATCCCAGGGTATTCCGCAGCAGGCCTACGGGCCACCAGTTATATACAGCTCAGGATTAAACTATCAATCAAGCTCAGCGCCTGCTGCTTCGAGCTACTCAGCGCCAGCTGCTCACGGTTATTCAGCACCCAAGGCTCCTGTTTATTCAGCACCGGCTGCTCCAAGCCATTCAGCACCCGCTTCTCCAAGTTATTCAGCACCGGCTGCTCCGAGCTATTCAGCACCGACTGTTCCAAGCTATTCAGCTGCTCCAAGCTATTCTGCACCAGCCGCTCCAAGCTATTCAGCACCAGCCGCTCCAAGTTATTCAGCGCCCAAGGCTCCTGTTTATTCAGCACCAGCTGCCCCAAGCTATTCAGCACCGGCTGCTCCAAGCTATTCAGCACCAGCCGCTCCAAGTTATTCAGCGCCCAAGGCTCCGGTATATTCAGCATCGGCTGCACCAAGCTATTCAGCACCCGCTTCTCCAAGTTATTCGGCACCGGCTACTCCGAGCTATTCTGCACCGGCTGCTCCAAGCTATTCAGCACCGGCTGCTCCAAGCTATTCAGCACCGGCTGCTCCAAGCTATTCAGCACCAGCCGCTCCAAGCTATTCAGCACCCGCTTCTCCAAGTTATTCGGCACCGGCTGCTCCGAGCTATTCAGCACCGGCTGCTCCAAGCTATTCAGCACCGGCTGGTCCGAGCTATTCAGCGCAGGCTGCTCCAAGCTATTCAGCACCGGCTGCTCCAAGCTATTCAGCACCAGCCGCTCCAAGCTATTCAGCACCCAAGGCTCCCGTATATTCAGCACCGGCTGCCCCAAGCTATTCAGCACCCGCTGCTCCAAGCTATTCAGCACCGGCTGCTGCAAGCTATTCAGCGCCAGCCGCTCCAAGTTATTCAGCTCCCAAGGCTCCTGTATATTCAGCACCCGCTAGCCCTAGCTATTCAGCACCGGCCGCTCCAAGTTATTCAGCACCCGCTGCCCCAAGTTATTCAGCACCAGCCGCTCCAAGCTACTCAGCGCCCAAGGCTCCTGCATATTCACCACCCGCTAGCCCTAGCTATTCAGCACCGGCCGCTCCAAGTTATTCAGCACCCGCTGGCCCAAGCTATTCAGCGCCAGCCGCTCCAAGCTACTCAGCGCCCAAGGCTCCTGTATATTCAGCACCCGCTGCTCCAAGTTATTCAGCACCGGCTGCTCCAAGCTATTCAACACCAGCCGCTCCAAGTTATTCAGCACCCGCTGCCCCAAGCTATTCAGCACCGGCCGCTCCAAGTTATTCAGCACCCGCTGGCCCAAGCTATTCAGCACCAGCCGCTCCAAGTTATTCTGCGCCCAAGGCTCCTGTATACTCAGCTCCAGCTGCTCCAAGTTACTCAGCACCAGCCGCTCCAAGTTATTCTGGTCCAAAGGCTCCAGTATATTCAGCTCCTGTCGCTCCAACTTATTCAGCGCCTGCTACTTCCATCTACTCTAAGCCAGTATCTCCGAATTATTCAGCGCCCAAAGCTCCTCCGTCTTCCGCATATATAGCATCGAAATCTTCAGGCTACGCTGCACGTATGCTCAATCCGCCAATGTTGGGGTCCGCGCATAATGCAGACTACGGACAAACATCAAGTGGCTACGGCGGATCTTCCATTCCATCACCACCTTGTCCGACCAACTATCTATTCAGCTGCAACAGCGTTATTACTCCTGCTCCTTGTAGTCAGGGCGCGGCCTATTAGGCAAGTTGACCATTTGAAAAATAAAACTTCCGACAGAAAATAAAAATATTTGAATTTTAATAATCACTCTGCACTCTAATGCAATTCTAATAAGACATTAGATAAATATTTCTCTGTGTATTTGTAGCTGCTAAGCCGCTAAACATATTAAGCGCTGCACTCTTCACATGCACACACATCGTACCTTATTGTCTCTCTCCCTTCGTAGTTCCACTGTATGCAACTGTCTGCAGAGAGCCGTTTGGCCTCGCTGCACTTGTGTTAGTTGGCGGCGCCTGCAGGTATGACAGAGCTAACAGTTTACTTGGCGCTCTCGCGGGCGCGCACTCTCTCACTTTCCGCTGCTACTTCACTCATGTCATGCGGTTAGTGTCGTCTCTTTGTTTGCACGCAACGGCGTATTCAATGTACGAACGAGCACAGCACGATGATAGGCAGCTCTCTTGTGTGCGCTCTTTGGCTCTCAGTTGCTTGACGAGATTGCTATGTCGTATAAACAACCCTGGCAATCATTTGCGTGTTGGTTTTTCAGTTAATATTCTCCATTTGCGTCGGGTGGTTACTGTTGCTGCTGGTTCTGCTGCTGCTGCTGCTGCTGCTGCTGCTGCTCCTGTCTGTTGATTCCGTCGGCAATCTCGGCACTGACAGCAATAACAATAGAATTGTCTTTCTTATTTTGATTACTGTTGCGATGAACAACACACATTCACATCCAACTCCACAGATTGTGTGGGATGAAGAGCACACCGTGAAGTTGATCAAGGCGTACAAGGCGCAGAATGTTTTGTGGAATCCGGAAAATCGCGGCTTCTTGCATCGCAATGCGAGATACGATGCCTGGAAAGAGATGGCGAATGTTATGCAGCTGACCATACGCGATGTTAAGAGAAAAATGAATTCGTTGATTGCCGTTTACCGATCACAGTATCGCAAGGGTGTTCCCAATCCTCGCTGGTGGGCCAGTCACATGTCCTTTATGCAGCCGAAGGTAAGCGGTAAACATACCAAAACCGATAACTAAACACTCAAATTTCCTCTAAAGTCGCAGAGAAAAAAACCCCAACAAACACTAAAAAAATGTCCAGCGTAACACACCTTACCCGTTTCAGTACTTTTTTTGCCTGGCATATGTGGTATCAGAGCGTAAGGCAAAACAAAAGGGCGCTAAATAGAAGAGCATAGCGCGCTGTGAGCGTGAGAGCCCCAAACGAATGAGCGCGAATAAAAACTCAAATACGATCGTATTTTGTGTCAGTGCATGTGTGTGTGCGAGAGAGTGCGCAAAAGCTATTTTTATAGTGCAAATGTTGGTTATCGTTAATTAGCAAATGCTTATGTTCAAAAGATCGACACTTGAACTCGATATTGATGGCAATTAAGTATCGATAAATGTTTGTCTGATATATATTTATATATAAGAAAGCATTTGATAAGACTACTATTTTCATTTATTTATCAATTTAATATCTTTCTTCCTCTCTATTTACTTACTTATTCCATACACAAAGCAAAGACAACCATTTCCTTTGTAACACTGACTTAAAGCTTACGCTCTCTTAATGTTTCTGCCACGCTCTTTCCTAACATTAGTTGGTTTAGCCTGGCGTGTGTAGCTTCGTGATAAGACACTCGGCTGGCATGCGAGCAGACCCGGGTTCTATGCCAGTGTAAATTAGAAGGGAAACGATGTTTTATATTTTTTTAAAAAAGGCTGTGATTAATTTCTTTGCAGTTGACGAGAAAATCAAACACTTGCGACCAGCCTGAGCAGCCTGAAATTAGCGACAATTCCATCGGACACGAGCACGAAGACAGCGAACAGGAATTTATATCAGCCGAATCAACGCAGCAACGTCCTTATCAATCGGCATTTCGCGAATTTTGCGCTGAATTCGAGCCACCTAACCGACTGCATTCTATCGGGGAAGAGGAGGAGCTGGTGGAGAAGGCCTGGCCAGACAGCAATGCGATTCAGCTGCATGACGATAGTTCCGTGCACCTGAAGACGGAGCTGGAAGAGAGCGAGACAGAGCTGCAGGCGCCAGCGCCGGCGCCGGCGCCGGTGTTAGCGAGTCCCGCTGACCCGCCAGAGGATCTGGAGTACGACGATGTGACGCTATATGTCAAGTATCTGGAATGCAAGCTGAAGAAGTATCCCACTAGCACTCGCAATGCCATCCAATTCGAATTCAATCGCATCATCTACGAAGCCGATCTGGGACTGCACGACCGGACCAGTGCTCCGAGGTTTTCGTGAGTATCCCATTGATTGAGATCGAGCCGAAGCAGTGTTATCATAGCTTTTACCTAATTGCAGATAAAGTCGCAGCTGACCTAGTTCTGGATCCAGATCGAACTTCGTTCATCTAATCTTAAGATATATGCAAAGCAACTGTAATAGTTTATAAGCATTTCAATGTATATATGCTGCGAGGGTAGTTCGACTAATCGCTCTGAATTCGCAGGCCCGAAACGCATCAGACCACCCTCGTCATTAAGGCTCTTTGTGATTGTATAGCTAAGTTAGTTACTTTCATATCTGATTATACGTCTATTTAGCAACTCCAATACTATCTCTAAAATATATTGCATAATATGCATTACGATCGCTTCAAGTGGAGAGACGGCAGACGAAATCAGTTCCACGTGGAAGCGTGAGAATGTGCATACATACATACATACATACATACATACATACATACATACATATGTTCATGTTCATAAATACATTCTCCTATTCAAGCATACATACATCATCATTTGCATAGAGAACTTGAATATTTCGACTTACTCATTTTAATTTTCCTTCTTGGAATTGATGCGGAATAAGCTCACCTGTTCCGGGAAATTTGACACCTGCAAAATAGCACACAAAATTCCGTGCAAAAAAAGTTTAGTTCGTATTGTGGGTGTTTGTTATTGTTTGTTTGTTTACTTATCAATTTTATTTCTGCAAATGTTTTCATGTCGTTTTACTAAGAATTATCACACTAAAAGCAACTCATAATAAATCGTACAATTATATATATATATATATATATTTATATATACATATATATATATATATATATATACATGCATGTATGTATTGGGTGTATATATGTATGCTGTATATATAGTTATATATTTATATATTAATATTTATGTTTGTTCATTCTTTTTGTTTTGCTTAAATTTAATTTTATTTAATTTAATTTTTTTTTCTTTTAATTTTTGTTGTTTTACAAAGTTTTTTTATGTCTAAATTGTTTTGTTGTTTGCTTTGTTGTTGTTCATTATTCTCCTTTTGTTTGCGGTCTATATATTTCATTAAAAAGCACTTATGTATTCTTAAATATCGATCATTATGTATATATATATATATATATATATTTATATATATATATATACATACATGTGTGTGTAAGCATTTACTTAAAACAAATGACATAAGACAATGGAAATAAAACAGCAAGTTCATCGCTTATCGATTGGCTGATCGATAAGTCGCGCTGCCGCTGCTTATCATGCGCCTCTACTTAATATAACTCAAGTAAATCTACGCAGAGAATATGTCACAAAACTGGTCCATAGATTAAGAGGTATTATTTATAGTATATATATGGCATATATATAGATGTGTGTATATTTAGTATATAGTTCAATTAAAGGAAACAAAAGATAATTAAGTAAATCTGAAACAATTTCAGCTCGAAAATCTACAAAGAAGGAAGAAACTTATGTGGAAGCTTATCTGTTTTTTCTTTTGTCGTTGTGAAGCTGTTTAAGATATTGGTAGACGATAGATGCCCTCACTACATAGCTCGAGCCCCAAGCAATGCGCAGTCCGAATGCTGCACCAATGGATACCCTGTAAAAGTTGCAGACGCTCGCTGCAGAAATGTTCTCTTGGGAGAGACAGAGAGAGGGAGAGTAATGAAAAGAGAGAGTGAGAAAAGAAGAGTAAGGAAGACAGAGAGAGATAAGAGCGTACGGGAAGAGCGAGAAAGAGAGAGAGAAGAGACAAAATGTCAAAAGGAAAGAGATAAAGGGAACGCAATAATTGTTTGAAAACTTCATAAAAGCCTCAGTCTAAGCTACCCTCTGCTCGCACCTGCTTCCTTACAGGGTATAGGCAGTGTTGTCAAAACTGAAAACGAATTTTTATTCATCTCGCTCGTCATTTTGCCGTTAATGGGTTCAAGCTCACCGAGTCGTTGAACGCAGCGCAACGCCAAGCCCATTACCCCAACGTGCCCCTTCCTCAGCTCCGGCAGCTATTCACAAAATATTTAGTTGAGCTTTGAATTCTCAAATTTGACATTCGAAATAGCGAAATTCAGTCAACGGAACAGTAGCCCCCCACTCCCTTCCCTCCTCTCTCTCTCTCTCTCTCTGCAGATCTATTTGTTTATAACAATTTGCTGCTGTCGTTGTCTTTGGTGACCTCCACAGCGCGACATGACCCTGAGCTGGGTCGCAGCAAAAGTTCAGCTAAGCAAATCGCCCCAAAAAAGCAAAAACAAAAACCGAAAACCAAAAGCCGAAAAAGCCAAAAAATCACAGTTTTTATCTTAGCCAATTTGGATGATCTCATGGTAGCTGGCCCACAAGGTTGCTCGGGTGAGCACTTGGGGCAATGGAGCTCGAAAATATACAAATAAATGGAAAGTTTCCATCGTTTGGATTATCGATAAGTCGATAACTGATGCATTATTTTGCCACAACGATTAATCGATAACACTATTGATAGACTCTGCTGAGCGACAGCAGATGCCGTTCAGTAAATTCATTAATTACACGAGCGAGAATACTCAAAAATAATCAATTATCAATAATCGATTGTAGACATTTATCGATATTTATCGATACTTATCGTTTTACCGATATGCGATTGCTTACAAAATGAAGCTTGCCGTCTGTAGACAAAAAAATGTTGAAGTAGCAAAATTAATCGATAAATTGTTAGCAACTCAGCGTCAAATCAGAATATAAAAGCGAATATAAATGCCTTCAGGCTCGAGCTACAAGATTTCTAAATTAAACAAAAAACAAAACAATAGAAAATTTTAATAAATGCAAATAAAAAGAATTCCGTTTTCTATATATATGTAATTATATATATATACATATATATAGAATATATATATATATATATATATTGATATATAATTTATTTTTGTATCATACGAAGTATTAACTAAAATGGAAATAATACAAATAGAGTCTTACGTACGTCTAAAATTTGTCTAGTTAAACTCAAAAAAAAAAATAATAATAATAATAATAGTAATATTAATTAATAATACAATTAAGAAGAAATAAACAGTTTTCAATAGAAACTTAAGCTTAAGTGTTTTGTGTATTCCAGATGTTAACAATATGGGGGTTTCTTAGGACTAAGCGCTTGGATTTATGCCATTTAATCAAATCAATTTTTCTTAATTTTTTTTTGTTTTTTCTTTCATTTTTTTTTGGCAATTAAAACAATACTAGAAAATAATGTTAATAAATCGTAGATAATGCATTTATATATATAAGTTAACACATAACATTTAATATAGGGTATTTCATAAGTTTATAATCAACCCTCGCTATCGCGTGTTTCGTAAGTTAAGAAACAGCCCTCGCAATTGCGACACTGCATACTTTGTATCAGCGCGCTATAACTGCAATGGTCAGCGGCGGTAACCAGATACTTTTGTTTACTGCAAGAGTTTCCGTTATTGCCTAAGATTGCTGAGTCGGCTTGCCGACCATGACATTGTGGTGTGATGCGAGTTTTGGCTTAGCTTAAGTGAAATATTCTATGTAGCTAAAAATCAGTTTTGCATTGAAGTTTGAAGAATAAACCCGCACTACTCCGGCACACCGCCGTAATCAAATTGTTATATTTCTGATCATTGCTGAGCCACAAGGCCAGTTAATAGAAAAGGGGGTGAAGTCAAACCCTCCAACATAATCATCATAAGAAGATTATAATTACCCGACCAACGCTGGACCTGCCACCGACGCCTAGCTCATCGCTGGACCAGCAACTTATTGATTAAGACTATAAATACCCGATCAACGCTGGACCTGCCACCGACGCCTAGTTCATCGCTGGACCAGCAACATATTAATTGGCGCCCAACGTAAAAAAAAAAAAAAAAAAAAAAAAAAAAAAAAAAAAAAAAAAAAAAAAAAATTTTTTTTTTTGGAATTTAAATCATGTAAGTGGATACTCCAGCCAACATTTTTTTTCAAACACAAAATTTCTTAAATTTACTTTATAAAAAATTTGTTAGTACTAGTGAGTATTTCGTATTGCAACAGATTAGATTATAATAATCAGAACCAAGTTTCTGAAATACGTGAGAGTGGCTGCTCTGAGAATTTAGGCTGATAAAAATACTTAGTGTTACTTTCTATGTGTCTAATTCGACCCATCTTTTGACGGCCCGTTTAATTTTTCGCGGCCACTGGCCTGCGCATGCCACGGTTCAGCCAATATAGAAGCCCTCGCGAGCAATCTAGCGACTCAGATTCCGACTGTGACACTCGTATCAGAGTTCCGTCTACAAGACTTATACCGGCAGTTCCTCCACCATCAGATAGAATGGATCCAGATCAGCTTAGGGAAGTAGTAAGAACGGCCATCAGCAATGCCTTAGCCGAACAGGCCGCTGCAAACCAGCAGAGGGAGCAAGCATTGACTCAAAGAATTAATGAGTTAGCTAAACAAATAGCAGCAACAAGCTTTGCCACCCCACAAGTAGTAGCATATTCTGCTATAGAAATTAGAAACGATATTCACTGTGACGAGCCGCTAGATGCCGTCAAGTGCTTACCTGAGTTCGCAGGAGCACAGGAATCTTATGTATCTTGGAGGCAGGCAGCATTAGCCGCTTACGAGATCTTCAGACCACATAATGGCAGTTCTCGTCATTATCAGGCTGTCATCATTATAAGAAGCAAGATTAGGGGCCCCGCAGACGCGGTGCTGGCCTCATTTGGTACTGTACTGAATTTTGATGCGATAATAAATCGCCTAGATTTCACATACAGTGACAAGAGACCAATTCATGTCATTGAACAGGAATTAGGTACCTTGAGGCAAGGTGGCCTGTCCCTGCTTCAATATTACGATGAGGTGGAGAAGAAACTCGCTCTTCTCACTAACAAAGTTAACATGTCATATGAGCCGGCTTTAGCAAAGGGCCTATGTGAAAAATTCCGCGACGATGCGTTGCGTGTGTTCATATCGGGTCTCAAGCGCAGTCTTACAGACGTGCTCTTTGCAGCAAAGCCCAGAGATTTGCCTTCAGCACTAGCTCTCGCACAAGAAGTCGAGTCAAACCATGAAAGGTACGCATTCGCGGCTAACTTCGCAAAAAGTCTAGAAGACAAAGAGCGCAAGCCGCATGCAAAAGCACAGGGTCACCAACAGGAGAGGCATTCGCAACAAGCCGAAACACAAGCTAGCGGTACAAAGAATCCGCACTTTAGCAAGCAAAGCAGGGCCCCAGTGCAGTCTGACCAACGAAGCAGCAGGCAGCACAATAATAATGGCGCACCGGTGCCCATGGAGGTCGATCCTTCCTTCTCAAGGGTCTTGCAGCCCACTCAGGCCCCTGCTTACGCGAATAGGAAGCACCCCGCATCTGACCGCACAAGCGGTCAGAGGAATCAGCAGAGGCTGAATCACGTCACACAAGACGTGGGACAGGGGGCAGAGGCGTATGCTGATGCCGC